GGGAAAACCAACAGAGGAGATCCAAGGAAAACCAACAGAAATCCAGGGAAAACCAACAGAGGGCCATGGAAAATGGAGAGCCAGGGAATACAGAGTGCCAGGGAAAACCAACAGAGATCCAGGGAAAACCAACAAAAAACAGAGGAAACAGAGATCCAGGCAAAACCAAGAGAGATCCAGGGAAAACCAAGAGAGATCCAGGGAAAACCAACAGAGAAACAGGGAAAACACATCCAGGAAAAAGAGAGATCCAGGGAAAACCAAGAGAGATCCAGGGAAAGCAGAGATCCAGAGAAAACCAACAAAAAACCAGGGAAAACAGCGAGCCAGGGAAAACAAGATCCATGGAAAATGGAGAGCCAGGGAAAACAGAGTGCCAGGGAAAACACATCCAGGGAAAACCCTTGGCTCAGGAGAAGCGTCAGTTCGGGATGCAGGGTTTTGGATGGATCCCATCACTCCTGCAGCATTCCAACTCCTCCAGGGCATTCCACACACACAGAATTGATTTCCCCCCTTTTCCCCAGCGGAGCCCGGTGCCCGCAGGGGAGCGGGGCTGGGGAAGGCAGAGCTGCCAGAGTCGGGGCGGCAGGGGACACCGGGCAGCTGCTGCTCCCAGGGTGCCACCTCAAATCCATCCCGGCTGCCAGCCAGGAGTTTACCCTGATCCTGCCCCTTTAATGGGGACAGGACAGGGACAGGAATCCCTGATCCCTCATCATCCACAGGGACAGGAATCCCTGATCCTGCCCCATCCATGGGGACAGGACAGGGACAGGAATCCCTGATCCCTCATCATCCACAGGGACAGGAGTCTCTGATCCTGCCTCATCTATGGGGAAAGGAATCCCTGATCCTTCACCATCCACAGGGACAGGAATCTCTGATCCTGCCCCTTTAATGGGGACAGGACAGGGACAGGAATCCCTGATCTTTCCCTGTCCACAGGGACAGGAATCCCTGATCCTTCATCATCCACAGGGACAGGAATCCCTGATCCCTCATCATCCACAGGGACAGGAATCTCTGATCCTTCATCATCCATGGGGACAGGAATCTCTGATCCTTCCCCATTCACAGGGACAGGAATCCCTGATCCTTCATCATCCTTGGGGACAGGAATCTCCGATCCTTCCCCATTCACAGGGACAGGAATCCCTGATCCTTCATCATCCTTGGGGACAGGAATCTCTGATCCTTCATCATTCACAGAGACAGCAATCTCTGATGCTTCCCCATCCACAGGGACAGCAATCTGGATTTTTGGAGCAGGGACAGCTTGCACCCACCCCACCAGCAGCTCCACAGGCGGTTTGGGGCAGGAAGACTCTGATTGATTAACAATTTATTAACCCATTAACTGGCGGTGGCCGTGGCACAGTGCCCGCTGTGCCGTGGCAGCAGCCAGCCCCAGCTCTCCCTGCCTTCTGCCCGGTTTGAGGATCCATTTTAATTAATTGCCCAGCTCCAGACGCATTAAAGGTGAGGCCTGGCAGCAGACCTGCAGGAAGGGAGCACAGGCAGCTCGATAAAATCAATGGGGTTTGCTTGGCCTCGGGTGCTGCTGCTGGAGGAGGCTGTGGAGCTCCAGCTCCGGGGGGGACGAGCCAGCCCTGGAATGTTTGGGGTGCTGGGCACAGCCATGGGAAGCTGCAGCTCCCTTGGGCCAATGTTCCCAGCCCTTTCTGTGCCCCAGGGATGGAGAAAGGGCAGGGAAAAACACCTTGGAAGTGCCAAGCATGGCCCTGAGCTCCACATGGATCATGGAATGCGGGAATCAGAAAATCACGGAATGGTTTGGCTGGGATTTAAACCCTTTAAATTCAGTTCCAGGTTGGGGTGGGCAAGGACAGCTCCCACTGTCCCAAACCCTGTCCAGCCTGGCCTTGGACACATCCTCATGGATCATGGATTAGGGAATCACAAAATCACGGAATGGTTTGGCTGGGAAGGGACCCTAAACCTCATTAAGTTCCACCCTCTGCTGGGGTGGGCAGGGACACTTCCCATTGTCCCTTTTGCTCCAGACCCCATCCAGCCTGGCCTTGGACACAACCTCATGGATCGTGGAATTAGGGAATCACAAAATCATGGAATGGCTTGGCTGGGAAGAGACCTTAAACCCTTTAAATTCAGCTCCATGTTGGGGTGGGCAGGGACAGCTCCCACTTTCCCTGCTGCTCCAAACCCCTCCAGCCTGGCCTCGGACACATCCTCATGGATCACGGAATCACAAAATCATGGAATGGTTTGGCTGGGAAGGGACCCTAAACCTCATCCAGTTCCACCCACGGTCCCTGCTGCTCCAGACCCTGTCCAGCCTGGCCTGGACACTGCGGGGATCCAGGGACAGCCCCCCTGCTCTGGGATAACCCGTGCCACCCTCCCACCCCACGGATGTGCCCGGCCCTGGCTCCTCCAGCAGATTTTGGGGCAGCAGCAGCGCCACGGCAGCCTCAGGAGCTGCTGAGGGAAGGCCCCACGTGTCGCCTGCAGCAGCCACGGGGCTCCTGGAGCTCAAAGCAGCCGAGTTTTCCTCTGGGAACAGGGGTTTGATGTCCTGGCAGTGCCATGGCTTCCTCGTGACCTTGGCCACGCCGGTGGCACTGGCAGGGCCACCTGGGCTGCCACACCGAGGGGCTCCGTCCTGCACCCCGCGGCTGAGCAGGGACATTCCCCACTTTTCCCAGGGCTTTCTGAAAGCACCACCGTGGGCGGCACCCGTCCCACCACGGGGTGCCCCCGACCCCGCTCTGCCCACGGCATTCCCACGCCCGCACACCCCGAATTCCACGCTGGGAATTCACCAGTAAAACCCCGCTGAGCCGCCGGGGGTCGGAGCTGCTTTTTTTTCCCGAAGCCGGGGGAATTGTGCGGCGGATTTCAGGCCGGGTCCCCGCTCCGGGATGGGCTCCCGCAGCGCTGCAGTGCCCGGGGTTTGTTTTTCTCCTCCAGCGGCCCGGCAGGAGCAGCCTCGGGGCCATTTGCACACCGTCACTCCCGCTGCCGCAGCCCCGGATCCTCCGGGATCCTCCCGGAGCATCCTCCCCATATCCCCCCGGATCCTCCTGGATCCTCCCGGAGCATCCCCAAGGATCCTCCCGGAGCATCCTCCCCATATCCCCCTGGATCCTCCTGGATCCTCCCGGAGCATCCTCCCCATATCCTCCCGGCTCCTCCTGGATCTTCCCGGAGCATTCCCTCCATATCCCCTCGGATCCTCCCGGAGCATCCCCTCGGATCCTCCCGGACCATTCCCCCCGGATCCTCCCGGAGCATCCTCTCCATATCCCCACGGATCCTCCTGGATCTCCCCTCCGATCCTCACGGAGCGTCACCCCCATATTCCCCCGGATCCTCCCGGAGCATCCCCCCACGGATCCTCCTGGATCCCCCCGGATCATCCCCCCGACACTCCCGGCAGGGATTTCCCGGGATCTGCGCAGCCCCCCCGCAGCGGGGCAGCCCCCAGCGCCCGGGATTCCTCCATCCCAGGACAATCCCGATCCCAGGAGCGTCCCCACCGCAGGACCAGCCCCATCCTGGGACCAGCACCACCCCCACCCGACCCCGGAGCAGCCGCGTCCAGGGGGATCCTATTCCAGCAATTCCCCATCCCAGGAGTGCCTCCATCCCTGGAGCACCCTCATCCAGCAGGATCCCCGGAACAGGAACCGTCCCCACCTCAGCAGCACCCTGATCCCAGCAGGATCTCTGCTGGTAGGACCATCCCCATCGCAGGAGCACCCCAATCCCAGGTTTAGCCAAATCCAGGGGTCTCCTCCCACTGGAGCACCCCATTCCCAGCGTTACCCCAATCCAGGACCATCCCCATCCCAGGAGCACCCCAATCCAGGGGTCTCCTCCTCTGGGAGCACCCCATTCCCAGGATTATCCCAGTCCAGGAACACCCCAATCCAGGGGTCTCCTCCTCCGGGAGAACTCCATTCCAGGAGCACCCCAATCCAGGAGCACCCCAATCGAGGGGTTTGCTCCCCCTAGAGCACCCCATTTCCAGGATTATCCCAATCCAGGGGTCTGCTCCTCCGGGAGCACCCCATTCCCAGGATTATCCCATTCCCAGGACGATCCCATTCCCAGGACGATCCCACTCCCGGAGCGCCCCTGCCCCGCAGCCACCCCGCATTCTCCAAGGTCACACCTGTAGGACCGAGGGGACGGCGGCACCCCCGAGCCCCACGGCTCCGGTGACCCCGCCGGCTCTCCCCAGCCCGGCCACCACCGGGATCCTCCCGCCGATCCCACGGGACGCTCCCGTTCCCGTGTCCCACCGGGACGCTCCCGCCGCTCACCTTCAGGTCGGGGGGCTTGGAGCGCGGCGGCGGCGGGACCGCGCCCGCCTCGGGGGCCGCCGCCGCCTCGCCGGCCTTGCCCTCCATCGCGCCGTGACCGGGCGGCTCCACCGGCATCGCCGCCGCCGCCGCGCCTGAGGGACGGCGCCGCCGGCCAATGGCGGCGCGAGGGAGGGGGAGTCTCGCGAGGGGATTGGTGAAGCATGCTCGAGGGGCGGTGCTGGCGGGAGGGGCTGGCCAATGAAGGCGCGCGGAGGGCGGGGCCGCCGCTGGTGATTCGCGGAGGCGGAGCGGAGCTGGAGACGGGCGCGCCGCCTCCTGCCGAGCCGCTCCGCGCAGCGCGGGATGGGGGAGCAGCGGGCGGCGTCCGAGCTCCCCCTTTGGCTTCCCCTGATTAAATACGTCATTTCATGGCCGTTCTCTCTTTTTGGAGTGTTTTTTCCCGTCCCCCGCGGGGGTGCGCAGAGGCCGCGCAGAGAGGTCGGCGGCCGCGCTCGGAGAGACTACAAATTCCATGAGGCTTTGCGGCAAAACAGACTACAACTCCCGGCGTCCCGCCGCTGGCCGGGAAAACGAACTGCATGAAAATGTAAATAAACTACACCTCCCAGCGTGCTTCGCGAGCTGGGTGCGCCCGGCCTCCTCCCCCTTTGCCCTGCGGCGCGCCGACAAACGTTCCGCGCACACGCAGCGCGGCCGGTGGAGGCGCTTCCCCTCGGGAGAAGGCGGCGGCCGCGGGGGTCGGGGAGGCGGGAGGGGCGGGGGGTGGGGGGGATTCGGGAGGAGAGGAAATCCTCGGGGAGGTTCCTCCCCGGACGGCGGCAGCCTGGCCGGGCCCGAGAGCTGCCCGCGGTGGGGAGGGGATAGCGGGGCGGACCCGGAGGACATGGAGGGCGAGGAGGCCCCGTCATGGCGGGGTCCCGGCGGCGCCGTGCGGGAGCTCTGCCGCTCCTTCGGCCACTACAACCGGCACCTGGCGCGGCTGCAGCACAACCTGCGAGAGACCAAGAGGTTCTTCCGCGACGTCAAGTTCTCCCAGGGACATCCCTTCGCCTCGGCGCCTGCCGGTGACGGCCCCCGCCCCGCCTGGGATGGGGATGGGGGTCCCGGGGACGGCGGTGAGAGAGGGACGGGCTGTGAGGGTGAGGGGTCTGGGGGGGAAAGGGGAAAGCTCTGCGGGGTCTCTGGGGGCCTGTGAGGGAGTGAGGTGTGCAGCTTGAGGGAGCTGTCATGGGGTCACAGGGCTGGGGTGCGCGGAGGGCGGCAGGGGCTCTGTGGGGTGAAGGGAGGCGGGCACGGGGTGCTTGAGGGTGGGTGTGAGGGAAATCTTCTCGCAGAGGGTGCTGGGCACTGCCCAGGGAATGGGCACAGCTCCGGGAGCGTCGGGACAGCGCTGCGGGGATGCTCGGGGTGGGATTTTGGGGTGTGTGTGTGCAGGGCCAGGGATTTTGGGGTGTGTGTGCAGGGCCAGGGATTTTGGGGTGTCTGTGCCCGCCATCCCTGGGGGTCCTGCCGTGGATTTGTGATGGGGACCCCCCAGGAGAGAGGAGAGGAAAGGGGCTGGGAACCACCTGGAAGGGGGTGGGATGAGGGGCCGGCACTGCCTGTCTGTCCCGGAATTCCCTGTGGGAATTGCGGCCCCAGCGGGGGCTCCGTGCTCGTCTGCTGCTGTTGACAAACAGAGCCGAGGGTGGCACCTCTGCTGCCAGGGGCAGCGCTTGCTGTTCCCATGAGACTGCCTCGTGAGAGGGGCTCCGTGTGACGTGGCACGTCCATAAAGGTCTTCTTCATTCATCCCCAAAAGCCTCCTGAGTCATCTCTCGTGGCCTCTGCTCCGGGATTCCTGTCCGGAATTCCTGTCCGGAATTCCTGTCCTGGATTCTTGTCCGGGATTTTGGACCTGCTCACCTTGCACTCCAAATCCTGGTTTCATGCTCAAAGCCTTGAGTTTTTCTGTGTGTATATATAAAAAAATAATAATTGGTTTTGGGCTGATTTGGGGTTGATTTTCCCCTCGTGGGACTGTGGAGTTGTGGCTGGAAAGGTTTTGGGAGCAGCTCAGGATTTTGGGGAGTGGCTGCTGCCCCTCTCACCAGGCTGGCTGGGGAGGGAGATTTTGGGAAGGGGCAGGGCCAGGTGAGCCTGTGATGTTTGGAATTTGGGATTGTTGTGCCTGGAGAAGAGGAGGATTTGGGGTGACCTGAGGAGAAAAGACGGAATGTTTCCAGTATTTCCAAGGGATGGAATGCCAGCACACAGGGAATGGCACTGCCAGAGGGCAGGGAGAGATGGGATTTTGGGAATAAATCCTTCCCTGGGACAGTGGGGAGGGGCTGGGATGGAATTCCCAGAGGAGCTGTGGCTGCTCCATCCCTGGGAGAGTCCCAGGCCAGGTTGGAGAGTGGATAAAATGGAAAAAATAGGAAAAAATTGATCAAATGGCAGCCTGGGACAGTGGGAGGTGTCCCTGCCCATGGCACTGGATGATCCCTCCCATCCCAACCCATTCCATGATCCCCTGGATGGGATATTGGGAGTAAATCCTTCCCTGGAATTCCCAGGAATCCCTGGCTGCCCCTGGATCCCTGCGAGTGTCCAAGGTTGGGTAGTGGATAAAAAATAGATTAAAAATGGAAGAAATATATAAAATAAATAAATATAGATAAAAACACAGCCCAAATGTGGCTAAAATGTGGCTAAAATGTGGCTAAAATATGGATAAAAATGTGATTAACTGCAATCTGGGACAGTGGGAGGTGTCCCTGCCCATGGCATTGGATGATCCCTTCCCACCCACCCCATTCCAGCATTCCCTGGGCTGCTTTGGATGGGATATTGGGAATAAATCCCTCCCTGGGAGGGGCTGGGATGGAATTCCCAGGGAATTTATGGCTGCCCCATCCCTGGGAGCCCCCAGAGCCAGGCTGGGCATGGCTGGGATCAAACCAGGATGGTGGAAATCCTCCTTTTTCCCCTGGGGAGGTTTTTAGGTGTCAGGAAATTTAAGGAGCTCAATTTTCCTTGGCTTTTCCCCAAAATCTGCCCTTCAGGTGGTACCAGAGTAGAGGAATTTCCCCCAAGGGCTCGTGCAGGGTCGGTTTTGTGCAGCACAGGGGGAGCTGGGGGGAAAATCAGCCTGGAAAATAAAGGTGGATGTCGTGGAAGGCAAACCAACGTGCAGGGTTTGCTCTTGGGGCAGCTGCAGGATGGATTGTGACAGCACAGGGGGGGAAATTCCCTTTGGATCAGCTCCCAACCACAGACAGGGCTGAGTATCTGCTGAGTATCTGCTGAGTAGGGGCCCCTGAACCCCCCAGTGAGCTCAAGGAGACAATAAATCCTTTTATTTCCCATTTTCCCTGCTTGGAGGGTGACACAGCTCCCCTCACTCCAAGGTTTTGCTGCTCTGAGGTTACTCCCAGGTTACTCCTGGTAGCAGAGCTGAGCTGGATCCAGGGGCAGCCACTGTTTGTGAGGGAGGGGAAAGTTGTGTTTGCTCTGCCTGCCTTTCCCAGGCAGTCAGCAAAATCCTGGCTCTGCCCCACAGCTCCCTCCCCTCGCTCCAGGCAGGCTGGGGATTTGGGGATCCTTTCATTGCAGCCCAAAAATCCCCCCAAAAAATCCCTGGGGTGCAGCAGCTGAACTGGAATTACTGAATTCCCCCAAAAAATCACTGGGGTGCAGCAGCTGAACTGGAATTACTGAAATTCCCCCAAAAAATCACTGGGGTGCAGCAGCTGAACTGGAATTACTGAATTCCCCCAAAAAATCACTGGGGTGCAGCAGCTGAACTGGAAATATTGAATTCCCAAAAAAAAAAAATCCCTGGGGTGCAGCAGCTGAACTGGAATTATTGAATTCCCAAATAAAAATCCCTGGGGTGCAGCAGCTGAACAGGAATTGCAGAATTTCCCCCCAAAAATCCCTGGGGTGCAGCAGCTGAACTGGAATTATTGAAGGATTATTTGTGAGGATGTACAAATAGAATCCTGGGATGGTGTTCCAGGAATTGTCTTTTGGGAATTTGGGAATTTCCTCCAATCCTCAGGCTTTTGGGTTCTTGGGGAGGTTTAAAAGCAAAAGCTGAGTTAAGGATTTGCAGCATAAAATGGGTAAAGGTATGGAAAAAAAAATCAAATTGTTTTCTGCTCATTTGGAGTTGTTTTCTTTGTGCCTGTAACGATTGGAACAATCTGACCTGGAAACCTGAGGGTTTGGAGGTTTCTTTTGCCTTTTTTTAGGAAATGTTTTTGGAAATCCTCAGAGTTTTGGGCAGCAACTGGGAGTTCCCTTAATGGTGTGTGCTGGGGCTCAGCTTCCAGAAATAAATGTATTTTTTAGGGAGTTATCCAGAGGGTTTGGAGGTGTTTTTGTGCTGATCTCTGCTGGCTCTGAGGGGTTTATCCTGTTCAGATGTGAGCTCTGCTGCTATCACCGTGATCCCCTGAGGATCAGGGCTCCTTTTGGGGGTAAAAAGTTGAATTTAAGAGCAGTGGAGAGGTGGTTGGGATGGGATTTGTGTCATAACTCCTCAGGCTGATGAAAGGATTTCCCAGGGAGCTTCAGAGGATGGAATTTGGCTCTGCAGCCTTTGGAGCTGCTGAAATCAGAATTAATTGGGTTTTTTTTTCTCCTGGAATCAACACTTCTGTGCTGATATGGAAGTAAAAGTGGGTTTATTTAGAATTCCAGGCTGGTTTGGGTTGGGAAGGACCTTAAACCCCATCCAGTCCCACACATTCCAGGTGCTCCACGCTGGTTTTGGACACCTCAGTTGATACAAATGCATTGAGATTAAATCTCGTGGTGGTCAAAGCCTGCTGGAAGTCACAACCAGCAGCTCAGGAATGGCCAGAATCCTTGGAAAAACCCTCAATATTGGCAAAAACAGGGTCTGGAAAACGGAATAAAGGCAAGTGAGACCATCAAAGTGCAGGAAAGGGGATGAATGAATGCTTGGAGCTTCCACAGATCCCATAAATCCGAGCTGAGGTTGTTCTGCCGAGCTTTGAGTGGATTTGGAGAGGAGTCCTGGTGAGAGCAGCCCTTGTTCCAGGACAGGCCTCCTTTCATTCATCCGGGAATTCATGGGATGTGTGCCCCGGGGCTGGTCACACGGCCAGGGATGGGCTGGGGGAGCTGGGGTGGCCTGGGGGAGCTGGGGTGGGCTGGGGGAGCTGGGATGATGGAGCTGGGGGAGCTGGGATGGGGCTGGGGGAGCTGGGATGGGGCTGGGATGGGAGCTGGGATGGGGCTGGGGGGAACTGGGATGGGGCTGGGGGAGCTGGGATGGGCTGGGGGAGCTGGGATGGGGCTGGGATGGAGCAGGGATGGAATCGGGATGGAGCCAGGATGGAGCTCCAGCCCTTGGCACTGCCCAGGAATGTGGCTGCATCCCTCAAAAGTGGGAAGTTCTGATCCCACTTTTTGTTGAGTCCCTTCCATCCTGGATCCGTGTCCGTGCTGACCACGGGGTGTGGAATCACAGGGAAGGTGTTTTAACCTCAGATCCTGGGGGAAGAATGGATTGGGAAAGGTCTTTTAACCTCAGATCGTGCAGAAAAGATGGATTTGGGAGGACCTTGGGAAAAGTGTTCTAACCCTAAATCCTGGTGAAGAGAATGGATTTGGGAGGGCCTTGGGAAAGGTGTTCTAACCCTAAATCCTGGTGAAGAGAATGGATTTGGGAGGGCCTTGGGAAAGGTGTTCTAACCCTAAATCCTGGTGAAGAGAATGGATTTGGGAGGACCTTGGGAAAGGTGTTTTAACCTCAGATCCTGGAGGAAAGATGGATGTGGCAGGACTTCGGAGATGTTTCCCAATAGCCAAAGGAGCTCCAAGAAAGCTGGAAAGGGAAATTTTCATCTGGATAAGAGGAATGAGGGAAGGTTTAGATGGGATATAGGAAAATTCCTCTCTGTGAGGGTGGGGAGGGGCTGGGATGGAATTCCCAGAGAATCCATGGCTGTTCCATCCCTGGGAGTGTCCAAAGCCAGGCTGGAGCAGCCTGGGCTACTGAAGGGGTCCCTGAATGGCAGAGGATCAGCTTTAAGGTCCAAACCATCCCAGGGTTCTCCATCCATATCAATAATCCTTCAATAATTTCATTTAAACTGCTGTATCCCTGTGATTTTTCGGAGATATTTTTGCTGGATTTAAGGATCCACCAATTCTGGGCCTTCCTGGAGGGAGGAGAGGGAGCTCTGCTGCCTCTTTTGCCTCCAGAAGCCTCAGCAGAGAAAGGCTCTGCCTCTGCAGCCCTCCCTGAATTGCTTTTTTCATGCTCCAGAGCCTGAATCCCAGGAGGAGCTCCAAGCAATGTCCCCAGATCAAAGCCATCCTGCAGATGAAGGCTCAGATGTGCAATTTGTGGGATTTTCCCCGATCTTTATCTTTTGTGAGCTCCTGGTCAGCTTCCAGCCCTCTGGTCACTTGATGTGGCTCTTGAAAGGCTTGTTTGGAAAACAATCCCGAAAATCACATTTCAAGGAGAGATTTCTCCCTTCAACCATTCCCAAACTCAGGGTTTGGGCATTTTTGCAGCATAAAATAGAAAAATAATTTGTTTTCTGTTCATTTGGGCTGTTTTCTTTGTGATTGGAACAATCTGACCTGGAAACCTGAGGGTTTGGAGGTTTCTTTTGCCTTTTTTTAGGAATTTTTTTTTTAAAATCCCCAGAGTTTTGGGCAGCAGCTGGGGGTTCCCTTAATGGTGTGTGCTGGGGCTCAGCTTCCAGAAATAAATGTATTTTTTAGGGAGCTATCCAGAATTGGGGATCTCTGGGGCAGTGGTGCAGTGCTGAACCACAAAAAGGGTTTTTCCTTAGTTTTGGGGTGGAAAAGCTCCTCCAAAATCCTATTTCCAGATGGAAGATTTGAGGGAAGGCAAACCTTGGGCAGGGTTTTAAAGGAGCTTTAAACCAATCTGAGATTACACAAAGTGCTCCCAATTTGGCTGATTTTAATTAAACTGGAGTGATTAAGCTGTCAGAGTGAGGAGAGGGATGTGTTGTAGGATCTTTTTAATGGGGTTTGGAGTGTGAGTAGGATCCTCGTGGAGGATCTTGTTTTCCTGACAATTTGGGCTGCCAGAACATGACTCATGAAAAAAAAAAAAAAAAAAATTTTAACAGCAATTTTTAAACAGGATTTTTAACCCTGTTAAATCCCTTCCAGCATCAGAGCAATCCTGGTGCTTTGTACCTCTCAAATTGGGCATTTTTTAGGGACTGGTGGCTCCATTTCCCATTTAATTTCATTCCTGGGCCGTGTGCCCTGGGATTTTTGTGTTCCTGCTGAGGGATTTGTTGTGTTTTTGGGGCTGTCAGAGTCATTCTGCTGCTGTGCACGAGGGTAATGCTGAATTTAGCTCTTGCCAAAGCTGCATTTAGGACTTGTTAAAAAAGAAAACACGAGCTAAACTCAGCCCCGAGCCTGAATTGGCACAGCCAGGTGATGTTTGTGGGGTGGGAGAGGGGTTTGTGGGGTGGGAGGAAGGTTTGTAGGGTGGGAGAGGGGTTTGTGGGGTGTGAGGGCTGTTTGTGGGGTGTGAGCAACAATTGTTGGGTGTGAGGGAGGTTTGTGGTTCTGAGGGCCATTTGTGGGGTCTGAGGACAGTTTGTGGGTTCTGAGTGACATTTGTAGTGTGTGAGGGCCGTTTGTGGGCTCTGAGGGAGGTTTGTGGAGTGTGAGGGAAGTGTGTGGGCTCTGCGGGCCATTTGTGGGGTCAGGGAGATTTGTGGGGTGTCAGGGAAGCTTGTGTGATCTGGGAGAAGTTTGTGGACTCTGAGGGCCATTTTTGGGGTCTGAGTGATGTTTGTAGGGTGTGAGGGCGGTTTGTGGGCTCTGAGGGCCGTTTGTGGGCTCTGAGGGAGGTTTGTGGTTCTGAGGGAGGTTTGTGGGCTCTGAGGGCAGTTTGTGGGCTCTGAGGGAGGTTTGTGGTTCTGAGGGAGGTTTGTGGGCTCTGAGGGCGGTTTGTGGGCTCTGAGGGCGGTTTGTGGGCTCTGAGGGCGGTTTGTGGGCTCTGAGGGCGGTTTGTGGGCTCTGAGGGAGGTTTGTGGGCTCTGAGGGCAGTTTGTGGGCTCTGAAGGAACTTTGCGGGGTTTGAGGCTGTTCCAGAACCTTCTGGCTGTCAGCAAAGTGCCTTCCCAGGGGCTCATCCCTTCCTTGCTGGAATTCTGTGGTCCTATAACAATAATAATTTTTTTCCTGCCATGGCACAGCAGGAGCTCCCCCATCCAGGAGCCGCTCTGGGCGTTCCCCGGGCTGTGGGGCTGCAGTGTCCCATTTTTAGGGCCAAGCCCTGAGCCCTGTCCCCGTTTCAGGCCCCAGCCCCGTCTCGTTCCCGCGGCACGAGGAGGAGCAGCTGCAGCGCTCGGTGAGCTGGCGGCCATGCCTGCTGATCCTGGGCCAGAACTGCCGCGCCAAGGGCCGCCTGCTGAACACGCTGCTGGGCCAGGAGCTGCTGCCCACCCCTGGGGCTGCCACCCAGGAGCTGCTGCCCACCCCCGGGGCTGCCACTGCCACCCAGGAGCTGCTGCCCACCCCTGGGGCTGCCACCCAGGAGCTGCTGCCCAGCCCTGAGGCTGCCACTGCAGAGCCGCTGCCCACCCCAAGGACTGGTACTGAGGAGCTGCTGCCCACCTCTGGGACTGGTACCAAGGAACTGCTGCCTGGTGCTGGCACCACAGAGCTGCTGCCCACCCCTGGCACTGGCACCAAGGAGCTGCTGCCTGCTGCTGGGGCTGTCACCGAGGAACTGCTGCCCACCCCTGGGGCTGTCACCAAGGATCTGCTGCCTGGGGCTGGCACTGCAGAGCTGCTGCCCACCCCCGGGGCTGGCACAGGCACTGAGGAGCTGCTGCCCACCCCTGGGACTGGCACGGAGGAGCTGCTGCCCACCCCTGGGACTGACACTGAGGAGCGCTGCCGGCGCCGCCGGGTGCGCTTCACGCACGGGGCGCGGCCGCGGCTGAGCCTGGCGCTGCCCGGGCAGTACGAGCTGGTGCAGGCGCTGGTGGCACACAGCGGGCACTGGGACACCATCCCCGAGCAGGACCTGCAGGTGCCCGGGGACGCCGAGGATCCCGCGCAGAGGGTGGCAGAGCTGGAGGTGGTGCTGCCCTGCGCGCTGCTCAAGGTGAGGGTGGCACCGTGCCTGGCACTGCCGCGGTGCCTGGGGAGCTTGGGGTGGCACTACCACTGTCCCTGGTCTGTGGGGAGCTTGGGGTGGCACTGCCACTGTCCCTGGTCTGTGGGGAGCTTGGGGTGGCACTGCCACTGTCCCAGTCACATGGAGGGTGACATTTACAGCCCTAATAAATTAATTCCCTAATTGTCCCTGCCTGGTCCATGGGGAGTTTGGGGTGGCACTGCCACTGTCCTGTTCAGTAAATTCCCCTGCTGGCTCTTTCCTGGGACACTCGTCCTAAGTTTTGTCCTAAAACTGCAAGTATTTGGTCCAAAATAAGGAGTTTGGAGTTAGGGATCAGCCTTGCAGTGAGACTCCAGATCTGCTTTGAAGAATTCCTGTTTTTTGCTGTGAGCGACTCCCAGGGCATTTTTCCATGGAAAAAGCCTCTCCAAACCTCCTCCTTTTCTCTTTTTCCCAGGAGGTGGACATCGTGGTGGCTCCATGCCGAGGCTTCCAGTCAGCTGAGGCCACCCTGGCCGAGTTTGTGAACCAGGTGCTGCCCGTTGTCACCTTCGCCATCAGCGAGCCCCAGCTGTCCCCGTCGGACCAGGCGGAACTTCGGGAAATCAAACAAAAATTCTCCCTCCCCATCTTCTTCCTGCGGATCCCCGAGGCCAGCAGCGAGCTGAGCTCTCCCAAAAACCCCCCCAAGGACAAATCCCCGCTGCAGCTGCAGCTGCTGGATCTGGAATACCTGAGCCCCTCCAGCCCCTGCGGCTGCGGCGTTCCCGGCTCCTCCATGCTGGTGGAGCAGCTGGAGAAGCTGCGGCTGCTGAGCTCCTTCTCCAGGCAGGTGCTGCAGCAGCACCTGGTGGAGGCAGCCACGAGGCTGAGCGAGGTTCACGGGCGCTGCCTCAACATCTTCATCAACCAGGCCTTCGACATGCAGCGGGACCTGCAGATCACCCCGAAGAGGCTGGAGTACACGCGCAGGAAGGAGAACGAGCTCTACGAGTCGCTGATGGGCATCGCCAACCGCAAGCAGGAGGAGATGAAGGAGATGATCGTGGACACCCTGGGCAGCATGAAGGAGGAGCTGCTGGAGGATGCTGCCAGCATGGAGTTCCGAGGTGGGAGCCAGATGGAGGGTTTGGGGTGGTGGCACGGAGGGAGTTGGGAAGAAACGCAAAATTGGCGCAGGAGTTTGGTGGGATTCCAGCCTGCAGTTCCCGGATGGTCACAGAGCCCTAAACACAAATCAAAATCTGGGATCAGGCAGATCCTGCCCACAATAATTCCATTAATTCAGTGAGGCTCCAACCTGCAATTCCTGAATGGTCACAGAGCCCCAAACATGGATGAAAATCAGGGGTCAAGCAGATCCTGATCATGATAACTCCATTAATTTAGTGAGACTCCAACCTGCAGTTCCTGGATGGTCACAGAGCCCTAAACACAAATCAAAATCTGGGATCAGGCAGATCCTGACCATGATAATTCCAGGAATTCAGTGAGACTCCAACCTGCAATTCCTGGGTGGTCCCAGAATGCTGAACATTAATCAAAATCTGGGATCAGGCAGATCATGACCACAATGATTGATGGATTCAGTGACACTCCAACTTGCAATTCCCAGATGGTCACAGAGCCCTAAACGCAAATCAAAATCTGGGATCAGGCAGATCCTGACCATGATAACTCCATTAATTCAGTGAGACTCCAATCGGCAATTCCCGGGTGGTCCCAGAACCCCAAACACGGATGAAAATCAGGGAGCAGGCAGATCCTGACCGTGATAATTCCAGGAATTCAGTGAAACTCCAACCTGCAATTCCTAGGTGGTCCCAGAATGCTGAACATTAATCAAAATCTGGGATCAGGCAGATCATGACCACAATGATTGATGGATTCAGTGACACTCCAACTTGCAATTCCCAGATGGTCACAGAGCCCTAAACGCAAATCAAAATCTGGGATCAGGCAGATCCTGACCACAATAATTCCATTAATTCAGTGAGACTCCAACCTGCAGTTCCTGGATGGTCACAGAGCCCCAAACACGGATGAAAATCAGGGTCAGGCAATATCCATTTTTTGGGTAGGATCTGTTGGATGAGGTGATAATAATCTTGGATAAAATAATTAATAATCTTGTATAAAGTAATTAATAATCTTTGATTAAATAATTATAATAACATTGGATAAAATAATGATAATAATATTGGATAAAATAATGATAGTCTTGGATAAAATGATAATAATGAATAAAATGGTTATAATCATAGATAAAAGAATGGTGATCATATTGCATAAAAGAATGGTGATAATATTGGATAAAATAATAGTAATATCGGATAAAATGGTAACAACCTTGAATAAAATGATAACAACCTTGAATGAAATGATAACAAACTTGAATAAAATCATCATCATAATCTTGGAGAAAATCATCATAATCTTGGAGAAAATCATCATAATCTTGGAGAAAATGATAATGAATCTTGGATAAAATGATAATGAATCTTGGATAAAATAATTATAATTGTGGATAAAATAATAATTAATACTCTTGGAAAAAATGATCATAATCTTGTCTAAAGCAATAATAATGCAATTCTGTCATCTTTGGGAAGAACATTATTTTAAAACAACATAAGGATCAGCGTGTGCACCCCTCAGGACTGTTCTCCCAACAACCCCAGGTCTCCAGGATGGTTTTTCCTCCCTTTCCCTGCAGACATCATCATTCCCGAGAGCGGCGAGCCCGTCAGCTCCAAGGACATCAAGCGCTGCATCCAGCAGATCCAGGAGCTGATCATCTCCAGGCTGAACCAGGCCGTGGCCAACAAACTGATCAGCTCCGTGGATTACCTGAGGGAGAGCTTCGTGGGCACCCTGGAGCGCTGCCTCAAGAGCCTGGAGGAGTCCTGGGAGGGCTCCGTGCACCCGCCCCGGGGGCTGGAGAAACCCCGGGAGGGCTCCGTGCACATCACCAGCAACTATCTCAAACAGGTGGGACTGGGGTTTGGAACTGCCGTGGGACTGAGTTTGGGTAAAATGGTCAATTTATGGCCATGAGGTAACACAGTAAATGAATTAGCTCATAACCCTTTGTAAAATAATCGAATTATGGCCATAAAACAGCTAAAATCTCTGGGGAAACCCTGGGAGGGCTCCATGCACATCACCAGCAACTATCTTAGACGGGTGGGGATTGGGGTGTGGAACTGAATTTGGGTGAAATGGTCAATTTATGACCATTAGATAACACAGTAAATCAGTTATCTCCCAAATCTGTATAAAATAATCAAATTATGACCATAAAACACACGTGAGATAGTGCAGTAAATCAATTATCTCCAAAATTTGTATAAATAATGGAATTACAGCCATGAAACACACATGAAATAACACAGTAAATTAATTAGCTCATAAACCTGTATAAAATAATCAAATTATGGCCATAAAACACACATGAGATAACACAGTAAATTAATTAGCTCATAAACCTGTATAAAATAATCAAATTATGGCCATAAAACACACATGAGATAACACAGTAAATCAATTATCTCATAAACATGTATAAAGTAATCAAATTACAGCCTAGAACCACCCATGGAATAATACAATAAATCAATGTGAAATAACACAATAAATCAATTCTCTCATAAACCTGTATAAAATAACCAGATTACAGCCTAAAACCACCCATGAAACAACAGAATAAATCAATTAACCAGGTGATTCATGGAATATCCCAATTTTTTCCATTTTCCCAGGCTCTGGCAAAGCTCGTGGCTGGCAGAATTCCCATTTTTCCCTCTTTTCCCTGCTTTTCCAGATCCTGAATGCAGCCTATCACGTGGAGGTCACTTTCCACTCGGGCTCAACGGTGACCAGGATGTTGTGGGAACAGATCAAACAGGTGGGGATGCTTGGAAAAGGGGATTTTGGAGCAAAAAATCCTCTCAGCTCCTCCCAAAATTCACTCTGGGAGTTTATTCCTGGGGATTTCCATGCCTGGAAGTGCCCATGGATGGAGATTGGAGCAGCCTGAGGTGGTGGAATGGGATAAAATTTAAAATTTTTTCCAGTCCAAACCATTCTGGGAATTCCAGGATTCTCATTCCACAACATTGGTGGAAAAATCAGGGAAAGCTGTTCCCAAATTGGTGGAATTTCCAGGGAGGCAGCTTTTTCCTGAGCCCAGGTGTGGAAATTCCAGGTGTTGGAATCAGCACTTCCTGTAATTAGTGGGTAATTAAATTGCTGTGCCTCACCCTTCATTAGAAACCACAGAATTCCAGAGTGGATCCCTGTCCCAGGAAGGGAGGGAGGAGGAGGAATCTGGAGTTTGTTCCCACTCTGAGCTGGGATTGTTTGAGGAAAAGTTTTGTTCTTGCTCATCCAGCCGAGGAGGGAATGAAGTTCCAGCTCAGAGCAGGAATTTCAGGAGGAAATTCAGGTTGGATTTAGGAAAAAGCTTTTTACTGGAAGAGTGATGAAGTTCTGGAATGGGAGGTGGTGGAGTCACCATCCCTGGATGTGTTCAAAAAAAGATTGGATATGGCACTGGGTGCCTTGTATTGGGAGCTGATTTTTGGGATTGGTGCCTTGGATTTGGGGTTGATTCCAGGGATTGGTGCCTTGGATTGGGGCTGATTTTTTGGGATTTGTGCCTTGCACTTGGGGCTGATTGCAGGAATTTTTGCCTTGGATTGGGGCTGATTTTTGGGATTGGTGACTTGGATTGGGGCTGATTGCAGAGATTGGTGCCTTGATTTGGGGCTTATTCCAGGGATTTGTGCCTTGGATTGGGGCTAATTTTTGGGACTGGGGCCTTGAATTTGGGGCTGATTGCAGAGATTGGTGCCTTGCACTGGGGGCTGATTGCAGGAATTTTTGCCTTGGGTGAAGGGCTGATTTTTGGGATTGGGGCCTTGGATTGGGGGCTGATTTTTGGGATTTGTGCCTTGGATTGGGGGCTGATTCTAGGGATTCATGCCTTGGATTGGGGCTGATTTTTCAGATTTTTGCCTTGGACTGGGGGCTGATTGCAGGAATTTTTGCCTTGGATTGAGGCCTGATTTTTGGGATTGGGAGCTGATTTTTGGTATTGGTGCCATGGATTGGGGGCTAATTTTTGGGATTTGTGCCTTGGATTGGTGCTGATTGCAGAGACTGGTGCCTTGATTTGGGGCTCATTCCAGGGATTGGTGCCATGGATTGGGGGCTGTTTTTTGGGATTGGTGCCATGGATTGGGGGCCGATTTTTGGGCTTTAATTGAGGCGTTAGGGCTGGTTTGACCTGGATGATCCCGAAGCTCTCTTCCAGCCTGGTGATTCCCTGATTTTCCCAGATAATCCAGCGGATCACGTGGGTCAGCCCCCCGGCCATCACCAGCGACTGGAAGAGGAAGGTGGCCCAGGACGCCATCGAGAGCCTGAGCGCCTCCAAGCTGGCCAAGAGCATCTGCAGCCAGTTCCGCACGCGCCTCAACAGCTCCCACGAGGCCTTCGCCGCCTCCCTGCGCCAGGTCAGGGAGCGGCCCGGGGCTGGGCTGGGGGGATGAGGGGTTTGAACTGCAGAAACAGCAAAAAACTGCCCTGGAGTGTGGGGGTGGGGATGGGAATGTGGGGTTTGAACTGCAGAAACAGCAAAAAACTGCCCTGGAGTGTGGGGATGGGGGGGATGAGGGGTTTGAAATGCAGAAACACCAAAAAACTGCCCTGGAGTGCCGGGATGGGGATGGGAATGAGGGGTTTGAAATGCAGAAACAGCAAAATAGGGGGGTTTGAACTGCAAAAACTGCCCTGGAGCTCGGGGCTGGGGGGAATGAGGGGTTTGAACTGCAGAAAACCAAAAAACTGCCCTGGAGCTCGGAGATAGGGGGGAAATGAGGGGTTTGAACTGCAGAAACTGCCCTGGAGCTCGGGGATGGGGAAGGAATGTGGGGTTTGAACTGCTAAAACACCAAAAAACTGGCCAGGAGCTCAGGGATGGGGATGGGGATGGGAATGTGGGGTTTGAACTGCAGAAACTGCCCTGGAGCTAGGTGATGGGGAGGGAATGAGGGGTTTGAACTGCAAAAACACCAAAAAACTGCCCTGGAGCTCAGGGCTGGGGGTGGGAACTGAAGTTTTAACTGCAAAAGCAGCAATTTGTGCTCAAATCTATATGTATCTCTAAGTCTATATATCTATCTGAACCTATATATATTTATCTCAACATATATATATATATATTTAGATATATATATATTTAGATGTATTTAGATATATATTTATATATATATATATATAGATATATATATCTCAGAAAAAAAAGTGTATCTATTGAAATCTATCTGTATATCTAAATCTCCGTGTCCCTATCTAAACCTCCCTCTATCCCTGTGCACAAATGGTGTTTCTGAGCTCTCTGGGCCATGTGGGGCTGTGTCCCTGCAGCTGGAGGACGGCCACTCGGGCCGGCTGGAGAGGACCGAGGACCTGTGGCTGCGCGTCAGGAAGGAGCACGCGCCGCGCCTGGCCCGGCTCTCCCTGGAGAGCAGGTCCCTGCAGGACGTGCTGCTGCACGGTCAGCTGCTCTGGGAGGGGGGCACTGCTGGGAGTGGTGCTGTGGGAGTGGGGACCTGCTGGGAATGGGGACACTGCTGGGAGGGGACACTGCTGGGAATGGTGCTGTGGGAGTGGGGACCTGCTGGGAATGGGGCTGCGGGTGGGGGGGCCTGCTGGGAATGGGGACACTGCTGGGAATGATCACTGCTGGGAATGGGGACCTGCTGGGAGTGGGGACCTGCTGGGAATGGGACACTGCTGGGAGGGGACAGTGCTGGGAATGGGGTCACTGCTGGGAAGGGTTTCCTGCTCCCCCTCCTCCACAGGCAGCAGCAGAGGGGAGGGAGTTTGGATCTTCACTCCATTTTCCAGCCAGGTTTCAACTGGCATCTCACAGCTGGAAATGTGCAGGAGGGAAAAAACATGGATTGGTGCTGATTTTTGGGATTTTTGTCCTGGATTGGGGGCTGATTTTTGGGATTGGTGCCCCAGATTGGGGGCCGATTTTTGGGATTTGTGCCCTGAATTAGGGCCGATTTTTGGGATTTGTGCCGTGGATTTGGGCTGATTTTTGGGATTTGTCACCTTGGACTGGGGCTGATTTTTGGGATTGGTGCCCCAGATTGGGGGCCGATGCCCTGCTGGGAATGGGACACTGCTGGGAATGGGGACCTGCTGGGAATGGGGACACTGCTGGGAATGGGTCACTGCTGGGAATGATCACTGCTGGGAATGGGGACCTGCTGGGAGGGGAACCTACTGGGAATGGGATCCTGCTGGAATAGGATCCTGCTGGGAATGGGACCCTGCTGGGAGTGGGGACCCTGCTGGGAGTGGGGGCCTGCTGGGAATGATCACTGCTGGGAGTGGGGACCTGCTGGGAGTGGGGACCTGCTGGGAATGGGACACTGCTGGGAGGGGACAGTGCTGGGAATGGGGTCACTGCTGGGAAGGGTTTCCTGCTCCCCCTCCTCCACAGGCAGCAGCAGAGGGGAGGGAGTTTGGATCTTCACTCCATTTTCCAGCCAGGTTTCAACTGGCATCTCACAGCTGGGAATGTGCAGGAGGGAAAAAACATGGATTGGTGCTGATTTTTGGGATTTTTGTCCTGGATTGGGGGCTGATTTTTGGGATTGGTGCCCCAGATTGGGGGCCGATTTTTGGGATTTGTGCCCTGAATTAGGGCCGATTTTTGGGATTTGTGCCGTGGATTTGGGCTGATTTTTGGGATTTGTCACCTTGGATTGGGGCTGATTTTTGGGATTGGTGCCTTGCAGGGAAGCCCAAGCTGGGCAGGGAGCTGGGCCGAGGCCAGTACGGGGTGGTGTACCTGTGTGACAGCTGGGGGGGACACTTCCCCTGCGCCCTCAAATCCGTGGTGCCTCCGGATGAGAAGCATTGGAACGACCTGGCACTGGAATTCCACTACATGAGGTCTGTGTGCTGAGTGCATTCCACAGGGATCTGGTTGGTTTCCCAGGGTTATTCAGGCTGGAAAAGCCCCCAGCCTGTGGCTGATGTCCCCTTTGTCACCCAACCCAGAGCTCAGAGTGCCACACCCAGCTTTGCTGCAGGAATCTGGGATTGGAGCTCCTGGAATGCTCAGCCAGGGATGCTCCTTCCTGCCTTGATCTGATTCCCTGCTGCCTGTACTGTCCAAACTCAGAGGAAATTCCAGTTTACAGACCATAATAACCAGCAATTCTCCTCCCCTGATTCCTGGTGGTGAATCCCCTCTTTTCCCACTCCTTGTCCTGCCTGAACCCCCAAAAATCTGCAGTGCAGAGAGCAGCTGGTTTGCAGTAAACAGCTGCAGGCACAGCCAGCTGAGAGAAGAATGGGGTTTTTTGTGACTCTTAACCTTTAAAAAGGCTTTTTTCTTGAGTTTAATTGGCTCAGACAGCTGAGGATTGTGCTGCTCTGAGCTGTGCTGGGAATTTTTGCTAAATCTGCAGCTCTGGGGCTTCTTCCCTGGGCCTGGGCTAGAGACTGGGGACAAAAATGACCCAAATTTTGTGTGCTGAATCTGCTCCAGGTCCCTGCAGGGACTCAGGGGCCAAAAATTATCCCAATTTTTAATGCTGAATCTGCTCCAAGTCCCTGCAAGACCTCAGGGGGCAAAAATTATCCCAATTTTTTGTGCTGAACATTCTGCAGGTCCCTGCAGGAACTCTGGGGCTTCTTCCCTTGGCCTGGGCTGGAGAACAGGGCCAAAAATGACCCAAATTTTGTGTGCTGAACCTTCTGCAGAGATTTTGGAGCTTTTTCCCTTGGCCTGGGCTGGAGAACAGGGCCAAAAATGACCCAAAATTCCTGTGCTGAATCTGCGCCAGGATCCCTGCAGGGGCTCAGGGGCCAAAAATGACCCAAATTTTGTGTGCTCAACCTTCTGCAGAGACTCTGGGGCTTCTCCCCTTGGCCTGGGCTGGAGGCTGGGATGGACATGACCCCAGTTTTGTGTGCTGACCCCGCTGCAGGTCCCTGCAGTCCCACGAGAGGCTGGTGCACCTGCACGGCTCCGTGATAGATTACGGCTATGGAGGAGGCTCCAGCATTGCTGTGCTGCTCATCATGGAGAGGCTGCACAGGGACCTCTACACGGGGCTGAAGGTGCCAGATCCTCTTATTCAGTATTTGTTTTATTTTTATTTTATCCCTGGAAGTGCCGGGACAGAGCTTGGAGCAACCTGGTTTAGTGGGAATAGTCCCTGCCCATGGGATGAGTTGTAATCTCCTTTCCAACCCAAAACTGATTCTCTAATTAAAAATTCCCTATTAATCCATAAAACAAAGCTAGAATTACTCAATTTTAGTAAGGAAGAGCAGGCCAAAGTAATTTTTAGGCATAAAATCTGAGTTTTTCCCCTCAGACTTAGTGGGAATAGTCCCTGCCCATGGGATGAATTTTAATCCCCTTTCCAACCCAAAACTGATTCTCTAATTAAAAATTCCCCATTAATCTTTAAAACAAAGCTGGAATTGCTTCATTTTAGTAATGAAGAGCAGGCCAAAGTAACTTTTAGGCACAAAATCTGAGATTTTCCTCTCAGACTAAACCTGGTTTAGTGGGAAGCGTTCTTGCCCATGGGATGAGTTTTAATCTCTCTTCCAAATCAAAACTGATTCTCTAATTAAAAATTCCCTATTAATCCATAAAACAAAGCTAGAATTACTCAATTTTAGTAAGGAAGAGCAGGCCAAAGTAATTTTTAGGCATAAAATCTGAGTTTTTCCCCTCAGACTAAAGCTGGTTTAGTGGGAAGTGTCCCCCTGCCCTTGGGATGAATTTTAATCTCTTTCCCAATCCAAAACTGATTCTCTAATTAAAAATTCCCTATTAATCCATAAAACAAAGCTAGAATTACTCAATTTTAGTAAGGAAGAGCAGGCCAAAGTAATTTTTAGGCATAAAATCTGAGTTTTTCCCCTCAGACTAAAGCTGGTTTAGTGGGAAGTGTCCCCCTGCCCTTGGGATGAATTTTAATCTCTTTCCCAATCCAAAACTGATTCTCTAATTAAAAATTCCCTATTAATCCATAAAACAAAGCTAGAATTACTCATTTTTAGTAAGGAAGAGCAGGCCAAAGCAACTTCTAGGCATAAAATCTGAGTTTTTCCCCTCAGGATAAACCTGGTTTAGAGGGAAGTGTCCCCCTGCCCTTGGGATGAGTTTTAATCTCTCTTCCAAATCAAAACTGATTCTCTAATTAAAAATTCCCCAATAATCTGGGGAATAAAGCTAGAATTACTCAATTTTAGCAAAGAAGAACAGGCCAAAGTAACTTTTAGGTATAAAATTTGGGTTTTTCCCCTCAGACTAAACCTGGTTTAGTGGGAATAGTCCCTGCCCATGGGATGAATTTTAATCTCCTTTCCAACCCAAAACTGATTCTCTAATTAAAAATTCCCCAATAATCTGTAAAACAAAGCTGGAATCGCTGAATTTCGGTAAAGAAGAGCAGGCCAAGGTAACTTTTAGGACTAAAATCCACGTTTTTCCCCTCAGGCTGGGCTGGAGCTGGAGCCACGGCTGCAGATTGCGTTGGACGTGGTGGAAGGGATCCGGTACCTGCACAGCCAGGGCTTGGTGCACAGGGATATCAAACTCAAAAACGTCCTGGTGAGGAAAATCCCTGCCTCTGCCTCACCCCAGAGCCTTTCTCATGGGAAAAAACAAGCTGGAAGTGAGGCAATAAATTTCTCCACGTGGGATATTTTAAGCTGTGCTGGTGTCAGCCACAGGGAGGTTCTGCTGCCTCCTTTCCTGGCTGGAATTGTGGGGCAAAGGGAGCAGGAGCCCCTCACACAGGGCAGCATTTAATGCTGGCCAGGGGTTTATATTTATTTTATTATGTACAAAATCATTTATTATGTACAAAATCATTTATTTTATTATGTACAAAATAAGTTATTTTATTATGTGCAAAATCAAGGCCCCTGGCTGGGTGATAATTGGCATTGACTCCATGATTCACAGAAGGCTGATCAATAATAATCTTCATTAAGAAACCCATTGCTTTTGTAGACAAAAATGTAGTTAGGATACAGCTGGACCTCACTGGTCCTCCAATCCAAGCACCATCACCACTGGCTAATTAAAAAACCACACTTTGGTAAAATCTCCATTTTACACATTTTACATGTTCGCAACAACAGGTGCAGCAAGTTAAAATAAGAATTGTTTCTCATTCTTTTCTCTGATCTGCTGAACCTTCTGCAGAGATTTTGGGCTTCTTCCCTTGGCCTGGGCTGGAGAACAGGGCCAAAAATGACCCAAATTTTGTGTACTGAACCTTCTGCAGAGATTGTGGGGCTTTTCCCCTTGGCCTGGGCTGGAGGACAGGGCCAAAAATGACCCAAATATTCTCTGCTGAATATTCTGCCAGTCCCTGCAGGGGCTCAGGGGCCAAAAATGACCCAAATTTTGTGTGCTCAACCTTCTGCAGAGGAAGGACAATGCCTGGGACAGTTGTGTGTTGCTCTCTGTGAGCTGCTGCCCCAGAACACATCTCAAGCTGTTTATTTTCCAGCATCAGTCTCATTTCATGGTTATGACAATAACCAGAAAAAAAATGTATTAAATTTTTTCACCAAACCAGCACAGTATCAAAAATCAATATTTTATGTGAGAAATGGAGTCCTCACCTGCCTGCCTGTGGCTCTTTCCCCAGCTGGACAAAAAGAACAGGGCCAAAATCACAGATCTGGGGTTCTGCAAGCCCGAGGCGATGATGTCTGGCAGCATCGTGGGCACCCCCATCCACATGGCTCCCGAGCTCTTCACAGGTAGGATCCCCCTGGTCCCTGCCCTGCCTGGAATTCTGGACCAATTCCTTGGAATCCATCTCTCAGCTGCTCCTGAGAGCATTCCAGCCCCAGGCAATTCCCTGCTTTCCATGCCTGCCCTGGATTTTTCCTGTGGTTTAAGTGCCACTCTTGGCAGAGGATAATGGGGTTGGTCAGCTCTGCTGAGGTAATTAACACCCTTGCAATTAGGTAAATTATCACTAGGAGGAAGCTGGAAATCCTTGGCTTTCATAGGGAAATACCGCAGGAAGGATTCCCTGGAAGGAATTCCCAAGCTGTTCCTACCTTGGAGTGAGTTTGGACTCTGGGAATTCTGGCAGCTGCTCCGAGGGTTTTTCCTGAGTTTTGGAGTTCAAATCCCACTTATCCCAATCCTTTTGGTCTGCCAGAGCTGCTCCTGCTTGGATAAGATTGGGATCCACTGGCAGCATCTGTGTTGGTGTGGATTTAGGGGATATCTGGGATATTTCTGGGATATGGGGCTGATGTTTGGCTCTGACACAGCTGAGCCTCACAGGTGTTGCTGTTAAAAACACACCTGAGCTCAGTTTGGAATTCCTTCTAGCTTAAATTTATAAATCCAGGGAATTGGAACAGCTTAACCTTGATCCCAGCTCCTGCTGCCTTCCTGGCTTTCACCAAGTGAAATTGAGGTTTGAAATTGAGGTTTGAACGTGGGGAAGTGGGAGCCTGGAACCACTCTCAGCCTGCCCAGCTCCCAGTGATTTCCCCTGCTGATCCCACGTGTTTTTCCCCAGGGAAGTACGACAATTCCGTGGATGTTTATGCCTTTGGGATCCTGTTCTGGTACCTCTGCTCGGGCCATGTGAAGTTACCTGAGGCTTTTGAGAGGTGTGCCAGCAAGGATCACCTGTGGAACAACGTCAGGAGAGGTACCTGGCCTTGCCTCAGCTCTCAGACCCCTGGGGGGTGGGAAAATCCTGTTTTATCCTGGTGGTGGGGAGGTGAAAGGTAAAAATCCCAGAATCCCTGAAGCTGGAAAAGATTTCTGGGATGGAGTCCAAGCAATCCCTCCCTGGGATGGAATTCCCAGAGGAGCTGTGGCTGCTCCATCCCTGGGAGTGTCCCAGGCCAGGCTGGACAGTGGATAAAGTGAATAAAATGGGTAAAATAGAACAAAAATGATTAAATGGCAGCCTGGGATGGTGGGAGGTGTCCCTGCCCCTGGGATTGGGTGGTCCCTTCTAACCCAAACCATTCCAGCATTCCATAAAAAATCCCAATTTCAGGACTCCTGACTCATTCCCAGTTTGTAAAATCCCAGATTATCTGTGCCTGCCCCATCTCTAGAAGTGTTTTAGGCCAGGCTGAACAGTGGATAAAAAGGATAAAAAGGATAAAATGGGTAAAATGGCAGCCTGGGACAGTGGGGGGGGTCCCTGCCCCTGGCCCTGGGTGATCCCTTCCCACCCAACCCATTCCAGCATTCCCTGGGCTGCTTTGGATGGGATATTGGGAATAAATCCCTCCCTGGGAGGGGCTGGGATGGAATTCCCAGAGAATCCCTGGCTGCCCCTGGATCCCTGGGAGTGCCCCAGGCCAGGTTGGAGCAGTGGGGTAGTGAAAAGTGTGGAGCTGATGATTCCTTCCAGCCCAAACTATTCCAGGATTCCCCGTGCTGCTTTGGATGGGGTATTGGGAATAAATCCTTCCCTGGAACTGCCAGAGAATCCCTGGCTGCCCCTGGATCCCTGGCAGTGTCCCAGGCTGGAGCAGCCTGGGATGGGGGAAGGTCCCTGCCCATGGAATGGGATGAGCTCAAGGTCCCTCCCAGCCCAGCCCAGCCCAGTGTTCAGTCCATTCTTCCATGGACTTGGCCACCCTCTGGAAGTGTCCACCAGTGCCCTGCTGGAATGTGCCCCTTTCCCAGGAGCTCCAGACCCCACCCAACCCCTCCACCTGCTTTCCCTGGAAATTCCTGGCATTCCTGGTGATGCCCTGTGCCATCCACTCCCTCCACCTGCTTTCCCTGGAAATTCCTGGCATTCCTGGTGATCCTGGAGTCAGGATCCTGGTGATCCTGGTTGGTGATCTCAACCCCTCCACCGGTTTTCCTTGGATGTGAGTGCCAGGCAGGGCTTTCTCTGGAAATTCCTGGCATTCCTGGGATTCCTGTGCCACCCAACCCCTCCAAGTGCTTTCCCTGGAAATTCCTGGCATTCCTGGTGATCCCAGTGTGCCACCCAACCCCTCCAAGTGCTTTCCTTGGATGTGAGTGCCAGGCAGGGCTTTCCTTGGAAATTCCTGGTGATCCCCTGTGCCATCCAACCCCTCCATGTGCTTTCCTTGGATGTGGGCAGGGCTTACCCTGGAAATTCCTGGTGATCCCAGTGTGCTACTCAACCCCTCCACCTGCTTTCCTTGGATGGATGTGAGCATGGCAGGGCTTTCCCTGGAAATTCCTGGCATTCCTGGTGATGCCCTGTGCCATCCACTCCCTCCACCTGCTTTCCCTGTAAATTCCTGGCATTCCTGGTGATCCCAGTGTGCCACTCAACTCCTCCACCTGCTTTCCCTGGAAATTCCTGGTGATCCCAGTGTGCCACCCAACCCCTCCAAGTGCTTTCCTTGGATGTGGGCAGGGCTTTCCCTGGAAATTCCTGGCATTCCTGGTGATCCCCTGTGCCATCCAACCCCTCCACCTGCTTTCCCTGGAAATTCCTGGTGATCCCCTGTGCCATCCAACCCCTCCACCTGCTTTCCCTGGAAATTCCTGGCATTCCTGGTGATCCCAGTGTGCCAGCCAGCCCCTCCGCCTGCTTTCCCTGGCAGTTCCTGGCATTCCTGGTGATCCCAGTGTGCTACTCAACCCCTCCACCTGCTTTCCTTGGATGGATGTGAGCATGGCAGGGCTTTCCCTGGAAATTCCTGGCATTCCTGGTGAATCCCTGTGCCAGCCAACCCCTCCACCTGCTTTCCCTGGAAATTCCTGGCATTCCTGGTGATCCCAGTGTGCCACTCAACTCCTCCACCTGCTTTCCCTGGAAATTCCTGGCATTCCTGGTGATCCCAGTGTGCCACTCAACTCCTCCACCTGCTTTCCCTGGAAATTCCTGGCATTCCTGGTGATCCCAGTGTGCCACTCAACTCCTCCACCTGCTTTCCCTGGAAATTCCTGGCATTCCTGGTGATCCCAGTGTGCCACTCAACTCCTCCACCTGCTTTCCCTGGAAATTCCTGGCATTCCTGGTGATCCCAGTGTGCCACTCAACTCCTCCACCTGCTTTCCCTGGAAATTCCTGGCATTCCTGGTGAATCCCTGTGCCAGCCAACCCCTCCACCTGCTTTCCCTGGCAGTTCCTGGCATTCCTGGTGCTCCCCTGTGCCAGCCAGCCCCTCCGCCTGCTTTCCCTGGCAGTTCCCGGCATTCCCGGTGACCCCGCTGCGTTTGCAGGGGTGCGGCCGGAGCGGCTCGCGGTGTTTGACGAGGAATGCTGGCAGCTGATGGAAGCCTGCTGGGCCGGGGACTCCTCCCAGCGGCCTCTCCTGGGAATCGTGCAGCCCATGCTCCAGGGAATCATGGACAGGCTCTGCCGCGCCGCCTCCCAGCATCCCAGCAAGGGCCTGGATGACTCCACCTGAGCGGGAGCGGCGGCACGATTCGGGAATGGCGGCAGGATTCGGGAATTGCGGCGGGATTTGGGGAAGTCCAGCCCCGTCTCTGCCGTGGAGCTGCGAGGCAGCCCCGAGGGGGGACAGGGAGGAGCCCAGGGGGTGACAGCTCCATCCCCATCCCTGGGATCCTATGGAATTGTGGGACAGAGGGTGACAGCTTCATCCCCATCCCAGTCTGTGATCCCGATGGAATTGTGTGGGACAGGGGGTGACGGCTCCATCCCCATCCCTGGGATCCCGATGGAATTGTGTGGGACAGGGGGTGACGGCTCCATCCCCATCCCTGGGATCCTATGGAATTGTGTGGGACAGAGGGGTGACAGCTCCATCCCCATCCCACCCTGTTATCCCTATGGAATTGTGTGGGACAGGGGGTGATGGCTCCATCCCCATCCCTGGGATCCCGATGGAATTCTGTGGGACAGAGGGGTGATAGCTCTGTCCCAATCCCTGTCCTCCCTATGGAATTGTTTGGGACATGGTGGGGCTCAGGGGGTGACAGCTCCATCCCAGTCCCAGTCTGTTATCCCTAAGGAATTGTTTGGGACGTGGTGGGGCTCCGAGGGGGCTCAGGAGGTGACAGCTCCATCCCCATCCCTGGGATCCTATGGAATTGTGTGGGACAGGGGGTGACGGCTCCATCCCCATCCCTGGGATCCTATGGAATTGTGTGGGACAGGGGGTGACGGCTCCATCCCCATCCCTGGGATCCTATGGAATTGTGTGGGACAGGGGGTGACGGCTCCATCCCCATCCCTGGGATCCTATGGAATTGTGTGGGACAGGGGGTGACGGCTCCATCCCCATCCCTGGGATCCTATGGAATTGTGTGGGACAGGGGGTGACGGCTCCATCCCCATCCCTGGGATCCTATGGAATTGTGTGGGACAGGGGGTGACGGCTCCATCCCCATCCCTGTGATCCCGATGGAATTCTGTGGGACAGGGGGGTGACAGCTCCATCCCAGTCCCAGCCTGTTCTCCCTGTGGAATTCTGTGGGACACAGTGGGGCTCAGGGGGTGACAGCTCCATCCCAATCCCGGTTATCCCTATGGAATTGTTTGGGACAGGGAGGAGCCGAGGGGGTGACAGCTCCATCCCAATCCCTGGTCTCCCTATGGAATTGTTTGGGACATGGTAGGGCTCAGGGGGTGACAGCTCCATCCCAATCCCGGTTATCCCTATGGAATTGTTTGGGACAGGGGGTGACAGCTCCATCCCAATCCCGGTTATCCCTATGGAATTGTTTGGGACAGGGGGTGACAGCTCCATCCCAATCCCTGTGATCCCGATGGAATTGTTTGGGACAGGGGGTGACAGCTCCATCCCAATCCCACCCTGTTGTCCCTCTGGAACTGAGGGATGCAAACCCAACCCTTCGGGCTCACAGTGGGTGACTTTGCCAGTCCCACCCCAGCCCTGGGATGGGACAATCCCTTCCCAACCCCGGGAGAACCATCCTGCTCCCCCCTGCCACTGGAGCCATCCCGCAGGGGAAGGAGAAGGCACCAAACTTCAGGAGGAGGAAGAGCTGGGAAGCTCCGAGGAGCTGGAAATGTTTACATGGACAGGAGCAAAGCTTCCGTGGTTGTTTTGTGGGGACCTGGAAAGCCCCGCCTGGATAAGCTATCGATCCCTAATCCCACCTTCCCCTCCTCTTTCCCCCTCTCCTTTGCTTCCTTCAGTGTCTGGGAATGGCTGCAGAAACCTTCCCTTGCTTCCACACCGCATTCCTCAGAGGTTCAGCTTCGTGGCAGCACAAAAAATCCTTCAAAATATTCGTTTTTCCATGGGGGAAAGTGCCAAAATTCCTTGAAAATCAGGATTTGGGGCTTGGAATTCATGGGGTTGTCGTGGCAGTTTTAAATCGGGCTGAGTTTGCACAGGAATATTTTTAAAAATGAGGATTTTCCAGCTTTTTTTTTCAAGCTGGGTGGGAAGAAAGATCCTTCCTTCTTCCCCTCACTTTCACTCCAGGGCTGGAATTTGGTTGGAAAGAATAAAAAAAAAATGGGGATAGGGGAGAGGGGGATCCTGGGCAAGGTTGTCTTTCCCAAATTCCTGGAAATCCCAGTTTGCTTCCTGCATTTGTGGGGTGGAATTGGGCTGGTCTGGAGCAGGAGCTGCCCCTGGGTGGCTCCAGGGGGAACTGAGGAGTTGGGAATTCCTTGGCTGAAATTCCAGCTGGGCCTGGCCCACGATGGCTCCAGTGGGAATCTTTTCCTTTCTTTGTGCAATAAAATGGATTCAGGAGCTTTTTATGGAGGAAAAAAGAAAAAAAAAAGAGAAAAAAAGCTTTTTTTGTTTCTTTTCTGCATCCGGGGGGGATGTGCTGGAATTCCCAGTGGGATGGGGATGGATCCAACTCCTCCTGCCATTCCAGAGTGGGGATTTTATGGATTTAGCCTCTCCTGCCATTCCAGAGTGGATTTTTTATGGATCCAGCTCTTGTTTTGGCATTCCAGACTGGAGTTTTTGTGGATTTATCCTCTCCTGCCATTCCAGAGTGGGGATTTTATGGATCCAGTCCCTGCTCTGCCATTCCCTGAGTGGATTTGGATGGATCCAATCCCTGTGCTTGAATTCCAGAGTGGTTTTTTATGGATCCAACCTCTCCTGGCATTCCCAGAGTGGTTTTTTATGGATCCAACCTCTCCTGGCATTCCCAGAGTGGATTTTTATGGATCCAATCCCTGCTCTGCCATTCCACAGTGGATTTGTGTAGATCCTCTGCAAAAGTGGGAATGGCCTTGGGAAAAACCTTTGGAAAAGTGAGAATGATCCTTGGGGAAAACTCCTGGAAAAACGAGAATGGCCCTGAGGAAAAAAACCTGTGGAAAAGTGGGAATGATCCTCAGGAAAATCTCTGGAAAAACGGGAATGGCTCTGAGGGATGGATCCAGCTTTTCCTGCCATTCCCAGAGTGGATTTTTATGGATCCAATCCCTGCTCTGCCATTCCACAGTGGATTTGTGTAGATCCTCTGCAAAAGTGGGAATGGCCTTGGGAAAAACCTTTGGAAAAGTGAGAATGATCCTTGGGGAAAACTCCTGGAAAAACGAGAATGGCCCTGAGGAAAAAAACCTGTGGAAAAGTGGGAATGATCCTCAGGAAAATCTCTGGAAAAACGGGAATGGCTCTGAGGAAAAAAAGCTCTGGGAATTCGGGAATGGCCGCGGGCTGGCGCCGAGGAGCGGGGAGGGGAGGGGAGGGGAGGGGAGGGGCTGTGCCCGCGGCCCCGCCCCGGCCCCTGCCGGGCTTTGGGAATTTCCCTGTGGAATTTTGGGATTTCGGGGTGCGATGTGGGAATCTCCAGGGTGGCCCAAGGTTATTTTCTGTGCCTGCCTGGAGTTGGTGTTGGGGGATTCCACAGGTTTTTATGACTCAAGTCAGGGTTTATTTTATTTTATTTTATTTTATTTTATTTTATTTTATTTTATTTATTTATTTTTTTATTTATTTTATTTATTTTATTTTACTTTATTTTCCCTCTGGTTCTATTATTTTTAATTTTTCAATTTTAATTTATTTTTAAATATTTTGTTATATATATTTTTAGTATTTTATGGTTTATATTTTATTTTCTATTTTTTAATTTTTATATTTTTAAATTTTTATTTTATTTCCTTTTCTTTCCATTTATTTTATTTTTCCTTTTCTTTGCTTTTATTTTTTCTTTCCTTTTTTCCAAAAGCAGCCACTCCTTTCCAGTAGAAATCCAGGCAATACCGGCAAGGGCCCAGCCTCCCCGCGGTGTTTTAGTTAATTATTAGAATAAGAATTATTTTAATTAATTTAATTATTGGTGCTACATTATTACCGCTCCCCCTTCCCGGAACCTTCCTGCTCGGCCGCGGGGCCCACCCGGCCCCTTCCTCGCGCCGCGCAGGGGCTGCCCGCCGCGCTGCCTGCTCGCCGCCGCGCATTCCCGGCCCCGCCGCCGCCTCGGGAGAATGGGAGCGGGAACCGGAGGGGGGATGGAAACGGGAATGGGAACGGGAATGGGAGCGGGGCGCTGCGGGAGTGGCAGCGGGGAGGGAAGGAGGCCCGGCGGGGGCGGGACGGCGGCGCCTCGAGCCTGGAGCCGCTCGGAGCGAGCGGAGCGGGGCAGGCGCGGCCGGGAACGGGAGCGGGAATAGGAACGGGAGCGGGAGCGGGGCTGGGCTGGAGCCGGGAGCGGCGGCACCGGGGGCGGTTCCGGGGGCGGTTCCGGGGGCGGTCCCGGGGCCGGGCCGGGCGGGCTCTCGGCGCCGTCGCTCAGCGCCGCTCTCCCGTTCCCCGCAGAGTCCTTCGGCCAGAACTACCCCGAGGTAACGGCACCGAGCGTCACCGCGTGTCACCGGGTGTCACCGGGTGTCACCGCGTGTCACCGCGTGTCACCACGTGTCACCGCGTGTCACCAGGTGTCACCGGGATGGGTCCTGCCCGGACACCGTCCCTGCGCTGTCCCCACACTGCCCACAGTGTCCCCACGCTGCTGCGCTGTCCTGGGGCTGTCCCCACGCTGTCCCCACACTATGCCAGTGGTGTCCCCCCACTGTCCCTGCACTGTCCCCAAACTGTCCCCACGCTGTTCCCACACTGCCTGTGCTCTCCTCACTGTCCCTGTGCTGTGTCCTGCACTGTCCCCACTCTCCAGGCTGTCCCCACACTGTCCTGTGACGTCCCCACACTGTCCCTCACACTGTCCTGCACTGTCCCCCCACTCCTCGCACTGTCCATACGCTGTCCCCATTGTCCCCACAGTGTCTCGATGGTGTCCCCACACTGCCCACACTGTCCCTGCACTGTTGCAGTGGTGTCCCAGTGTCCCCACTGTCCCTGGAAGTGTCCCCGCTGTCCCTGGAAGTGTCCCCATTGTCCCCGCTGTGTCCCCAGTGTCCCCTGTCCCCGCAGGAGGCCGATGGCACTCTGGACTGCATCAGCATGGCGCTGACGTGCACCTTCAACCGCTGGGGCACGCTGCTGGCCCTGTGTCCCCCACTGTCCCCGGAGGTGTCCCCATACTGTCCTTGCTGTGTCCTGGTGGGTCCCCGCTGTCCCCACTGTGTCCCCAGTGTCCCTGCTGTGTCCCAGTGGGTCCCTGCTGTCCCTGCTGTGTCCCCAGTGTCCCACTGTCCCTGGTGGTGTCCCCGCTGTCCCCGCTGTGTCCCCAGTGTCCCCGCTGTGTCCCCAGTGTCCCCTGTCCCCGCAGGAGGCCGATGGCACTCTGGACTGCATCAGCATGGCGCTGACGTGCACCTTCAACCGCTGGGGCACGCTGCTGGCCGTGGGCTGCAACGACGGCCGCATCGTCATCTGGGACTTCCTGACGCGCGGCATCGCCAAGATCATCAGCGCCCACATCCACCCGGTGTGCTCCCTCTGGTGAGCGTGGCATTCCCGAAATCCCAAAAATCCTGAAATCCCAAAACCCCACATCCACCCGGTGTGCTCCCTCTGGTGAGCACGGCGTTCCCGAAATCCTGAAATCCCAAAGTCCTGAAATCCCAAAATCCTGAAATCCCACAATCCCACATCCACCCCGTCTGCTCCCTCTGGTGAGTGCAGCATTCCCAAAATCCCAGCATTCCCAAAATCCCACACCCACCCGGTGTGCTCCCTGTGGTGAGCAGAGCCTGGGAACTGCAGGAATCCCCAGGGAATCTGCTGGAATCCCCATGGAAACCCCAGGGAGTCCCCTTGGAATCTCCATGGAATCCCCAGCTCCTTTCCCCCTGCTCTTAAGGAATAACTCTGTTGGGAATTCCCTGAGCTCCTTTTTCCCCTGCCCTTAAGGAATAACATTTTTGGGAATTCCCTGAGCCCCTTCCCCCTGCCCCTAAGGAATTAGGAATTCCCTGAGCCCTTCCCCCTGCCCCTAAGGAATAACACCTCTGGGAATTCCCTGAGCCCTTCCCCCTGCCCCTAAGGAATAACATTTTTGGGAATTCCCTGAGCCCTTCCCCTAAGGAATAACACCTCTGGGCGTTGCCCCCCTTGCGCAGCTGGAGCCGGGACGGGCACAAGCTGGTCAGCGCCTCCACGGATAACATCGTGTCCCAGTGGGATGTGCTGTCCGGGGACTGCGACCAGCGCTTCCGCTTCCCCTCGCCCATCCTCAAGGTCCAGTACCACCCCCGGGACCAGTAAGTGCCCTGCGAGGGGACTGGGATGCTCCCAGCGGGGGGGAGCCGCTGCTCCTGGGGTGTTCCTACGTTTTCCAAGTGGAATTGGAAATCCCAGTTGGAAGTTGTTGTGTTGGGGTCGGGTTTTTGGGAGGGAGCTCTTGGGAGTCAGTGTGGGAATTTCAAATCCTTGGGTTTGAAATTGCTGCACAAACTCAGAGAAGGAAAGGAAATTAAGTAGATTTGAACTTCACATGGTTTTGCTAAGTACTGAAGACAATAAAAATAGAAATAGCCTGCATTCCTTGATCCAGCTCAGTTGCTGGAATTCCTTCTCTGAGATCTCCTGAATTCCTCAATCCAGCTCAATGCTGTTTTTGCTGGAAATCCTTTTCCAAGGTTTCCTGAATTCCTCAGTCCAGCTCGATTTTTTTTTTTTTTCCTGGGAATCCTTTTCTCTTTGATCCACCTTCATGCTTTTGTAGCTCTAACCATGGAAACCCTCCCCAAGATCTCCTGGATTCCTCGATCCAGTTCAACGTTTTTTAGCTCTAACCATGGAAACCCTTCTCAAGATCTGAACTCCTAATCCCGTTCAATGTTTTGTAACTCTAACCATGGAAATCCTTCCCAAGATCTGAATTCCTAATCCAGTTCAATGTTTTTTAGCTCTAATGATGGAAACCCTTCCCAAGATCTCCTGAATTCCCCAATCCAGCTTGGTGTTTTTTTGCTCTAACCATGGAAACCCTCCCCAAGATCTGAATTCCTTGATCCACCTCCATGTTTTTTAGCTGTAACAACAGAAACCCTCCCCAGGATCTGAATTCCTCGATCCACCTTGATTTGTTTTGCTCTAACCATGGAAACCCCTCCCAAGATCTGAATTCCTCAATCCACCTCGATGTTTTTTAGCTCTAATGATGGAAACCCTCCCCAAGATCTGAATTCCTCAATCCACCTCCATGTTTTTTAGCTCTAACCATGGAAACCCCTCCCAAGATCTGAATTCCTCGATCCAGTTCAATGTTTTTTGGCTCTAACCATGGAAACCCCTCCCAAGATCTGAATTCCTTGATCCATCTCAATGTTTTTTAGCTCTAACCATGGAAACCCCTCCCCAAGATCTGAATTCCTCAATCCACCTCGATTAGTTTTGCTCTAACCATGGAAACCCCTCCCCAAGATCTGAATTCCTCAATCCAGTTCAAAGTTTTTTAGCTCTAACCATGGAAAGCCTCCCCAAGATCTGAATTCCTCAATCCACCTCCATGTTTTTTAGCTCTAACCATGGAAACCCCTCCCAAGATCTGAATTCCTCGACCCACCTCGATGTTTTTTGTCTCTAACCACGGACGCCCTCCCCGAGGGCAGGAGTCCCCACCTTGGCCTGTGTTGCAGGAACAGGGTGCTGGTGTGTCCCATGAAGTCTGCCCCGGTGATGCTCACCCTGTCCGACTCCAAGCACGTGGTGCTGCCCGTGGACGACGACTCCGACCTCAACGTGGTGGCCTCGTTTGACCGCCGTGGGGAATACATCTACACCGGCAACGCCAAGGGCAAGGTCAGCCCCTCCCTGCCCGGGCACTGGGCAGCCCTGGCTGCCCCTGGGCACAGCCAGGCTGGGCAGCGCTGGGAATTCCCCGTGGGAAGGGGGGTCGGGCTTTGGAAGTGCCATGGGGGCTTTGGGGTCTGCATCTCTGGAGGTGGCACTGGGTGCTCCGGGTGGGGATTGGGCACCTCGATGGGTGAGGGGCACGGGGAGGGGGTTTGGGGAGCAGGGAGGGGCGCGGGGTACAGGGAGGGGTTTGGGGAGCAGGGAGGGGTTTGGGGAGCAGTGAGTGGCACGGGGAAGGTTTTGGGGAGCAGGGAGAGACGCAGAGAAGGGTTGGGGAGCAGTGAGCGGCACAGGGAGGGGTTTGGGGAGCAGGAATGGCTTTGGGGAGCAATGAGGGGCACAGAGATGGATTTAGGGAGCAGTGAGGGGTTTGGGGAGCAGTGAGGGGCACAGGGATGGGTTTGGGAGCAGTGAGGGGCACAGGGATGGGTTTGGGGTGCACTGGGGCACAGGGAGGGGTTTGGAGAACAGGTAAGGGGCATAGGAATAGATTTGGGGAAAAGGAGGTACAGGGATGGGTTTGGGGAGCAGGAATAGATTTCTGGAACAGAGAGTTCGGGATGGGTTTGGGAACAGGAATGGTTTTGGAGAACAGGTGAGGGGCACAGGGAGGGGTTTTGGGGAACAGGAATAGATTTGGGGGAAAGGTGAGTGGCACAGGGATGGGTTTGGGGAACAAGAATAGATTTAGGGAACAGGTGAGGAGCATAGGGATGAGTTTGGGGAACAGGTGAGGGGCACAGGGAGGGGTTTGAGGAGCAGTGAGGGGCACGGGGAGGGATTTAGGCAACAGGAATGGATTTGGGGCACAGGGATGAGTTTGGGAACAGGAATAGATCTGGGAACAGGTGAGGGGTACAGGGATGGGTTTGAGGAACAGGGACAGGCACAGGGATGGCTTTGGGAAGAGGTGAGGGGCACAGGGATCAGTTTGGGGAACAGGTGAGGTGCACAGGAAGGGGTTTGGGGAACAGGGACAGGCACAGGGATGGCTTTGGGTGTAGACAGGTGCAGAGATGGCTGCTGGGTTTGGGGAGCAGATGAAGGATTGCTTGAGGATCCTGGAGGGGTTTTCCAGCCTCAGGGGGTTTGGGATCTTTGTCTGACTCTGTTTTTGACACGTTTTTGGGATGTTTTCCCGGCGTTTCTGTCTCAGCAGCTCCTGCAGTGTCCCCGGGTGGGCTCCCAGGGTTCTGTTTCAGGTGAAGCCACTGATTGTTCTCTGTCTGCTCAATCTTCAGATCTTGGTCTTAAAAACAGACACTCAGGATCTTGTTGCTTCCTTCAGAGTGACCACAGGGACCAGCAACACCACGGCCATTAAATCCATCGAGTTCGCCCGCAAAGGGAGGTGAGCGCCCCGGGGGATCCCAAAACTGCAGAGCTCCTCAACCCCCCAGTTCTTGCACAGGCCAGGATTTGTGATTGATTGATTGATGGATCGATGGGTTTTTCATTGATTTCCCCCCGTTTTGCTGCAGCTGCTTCCTGATCAACACGGCCGACCGGATCATCCGCGTGTACGACGGGCGGGAGATCCTGACCTGCGGCCGCGACGGCGAGCCCGAGCCCATGCAGAAACTGCAGGACCTGGTCAACAGGTGGGACAGCGGGGACAGCTGGGGACAGGGCCTGGGGACAGCTGGGGACAGCTGGGGACAGGGCCTGGGGACAGCTGAGACAGCTGGGGACAGCTGGGGACAGGGCCTGGGGACAGCTGGGGACAGGGCCTGGAGACAGCTGGGGACAGCTGGGACAGCTGGGACAGCTGGGGCCAGGGCCTGGGGACAGCTGGGGACAGGGCCTGGAGACAGCTGGGGACAGCTGGGACAGCTGGGACAGCTGGGGCCAGGGCCTGGGGACAGCTGGGGACAGGGCCTGGAGACAGCTGGGGACAGCTGGGACAGCTGGGACAGCTGGGGCCAGGGCCTGGGGACAGCTGGGGACAGGGCCTGGAGACAGCTGGGGACAGCTGGGACAGCTGGGACAGCTGGGGCCAGGGCCTGGGGACAGCTGGGGACAGGGCCTGGAGACAGCTGGGGACAGCTGGGACAGCTGGGACAGCTGGGGCCAGGGCCTGGGGACAGCTGGGGACAGCCTGGGACAGGGCAGGACCTGGTCAACAGGTGGGACAGCCTGGGGAGGGTGGGAACAGCCTGGGGACAGCCTATGCATAGCCGGGGCACAGCCTGGGGACAGGGGACAGGGCCTGGGGAGAGGTGGGGCCATGGCAGGGGTGTGGTGCACAGGGAGGGCTTTGGGGAAGAATCTGAAAAATATAAAAGCTAAAACTTAAAATGTAAAGGTTAAATATAAATAATAAAAAACCTCAAACAAACAACAACAACAACACCAAACAAACATAAAAAAAAACCACAAAAAAACCACCCTTAAATATAAAAGCAGCCCAGAATCTGAAAACCATACAAGCTAAAGTTGAGCCATCCCTCCCCTGTCTCCCTGGCCGCAGGACCCCCTGGAAGAAGTGCTGCTTCTCGGGGGATGGACATAAAGCTTAAATATAAATAATATGATGATGATAATAATGATAATAATGATAATGATAATAATAGTAATAATAATAATAATAATCTTAAACATAAAAGCAGCCCAGAATCTGAAAACCATACAAGCTAAAGTTGAGCCATCCCTCCCCTGTCTCCCTGGCCGCAGGACCCCCTGGAAGAAGTGCTGCTTCTCGGGGGATGGACATAAAGCTTAAATATAAATAATATGATGATGATAATAATGATAATAATGATAATGATAATAATAGTAATAATAATAATAATAATCTTAAACATAAAAGCAGCCCAGAATCTGAAAACCATAGAAGCTAACCCCGAGCCATCCCATTCCTGTCTCCCTGGCTGCAGGACCCCCTGGAAGAAGTGCTGTTTATTGGAGGATGAACATAAAGCTTAAATATAAATAATATGATGATAATAATGATAATAATAATAATAATAATAATCTTACACATAAAAGCAGCCCAGAATCTGAAAACCATAAAAGCTAAAGCTGAGCCATCCCTGCCCTGTCTCCCTGGCCGCAGGACCCCCTGGAAGAAGTGCTGCTTCTCGGGGGACGGCGAGTACATCGTGGCGGGCTCGGCGCGGCAGCACGCGCTCTACATCTGGGAGAAGAGCATCGGCAACCTGGTGAAGATCCTGCACGGCACCCGCGGCGAGCTGCTCCTGGACGTGGCAGTGAGGAGCCCCCCAGCCCCTGGGCGTCCTTGGGGTTTGGGAATGGGCTGTGGCACTCGCTAATGTTTGCTAATGAAGGGTTCCTTGTTGGTTTTTGTCCCCTCGCCTGCTGATTGCAGTGGCACCCGGTGCGGCCCATCATCGCCTCCATCTCCAGCGGGGTGGTGTCCATATGGGCTCAGAACCAAGTGGTGAGTCTGCCTTTGGGGTCATTCCCTTGGGAATAGGGGCTGCTTCCATCGCTGGAGGGGTCCCAGGCCGGGTTGGAGCAGCCTGGGATGGGGAGAAGTGTGGAGCTGCTGATCCCACACAAACCAGTCCGGGATTTCCATACGGGCTCAGAACTGAGTGGTGAGCCAGGGTTTGGGGTCATTCCCTTGGGAATAGGGTCTGGAACAGGCTGGTTCCATCCCTGGAAGTGTCCTAGGCTGGGTTGGAGCAGCCTGGGATGGGGAGAAGTGTGGAGCTGCTGATCCCACACAAACCAGTCCGGGATTTCCATACGGGCTCAGAACTGAGTGGTGAGCCAGGGTTTGGGGTTATTCCCTTGGGAACAGGGTCTGGAACAAGCTTGTCCAGGGAAATTTTGACTATTCCATCCCTGGGAGTGTCCCAGGCCGGGTTGGAGCAGCCTGGGATAGGGAGAAGTGTGGAGCTGCTGATCCCTTCCAATCCAAAGCAGTCCAGGATTTCATGGGCTCAGAACTGAGTGCTGAGCCAGGGTTTGGGGTTATTCCTCTGGGAATAGGGTCTGGAACAGGCTGGTTCCATCGCTGGAAGGGTCCCAGGCCGGGTTGGAGCAGCCTGGGATGGGGAGAAGTGTAGAGCTGCTGATCCCACACAAACCAGTCCTGGATTTCATGGGCTCAGAACTGAGTGGTGAGCCAGGGTTTGGGGTCATTCCTCTGGGAATAGGGTCTGGAACAGGCTGGTTCCATCGCTGGAAGGGTCCCAGGCCGGGTTGGAGCAGCCTGGGATGGGGAGAAGTGTGGAGCTGCTGATCCCACACAAACCAGTCCGGGATTTCCATACGGGCTCAGAACTGAGTGGTGAGCCAGGGTTTGGGGTCATTCCGTGGGAACAGGGTCTGGAACAGGCTTGTCCAGGGAAATTCTGGCTGTTCCATCCTTGGTGTCCTAGGCCAGGATGGAGCAACCTGGAGGAGAAGTGTGGAGCTGCTGATCCCTTCCAACCCAAACCATTCCAGGATTTCCTGGGCTGCTTTGGGTGGGATATTGGGAATAAATCCCTCCCTGGGAGGGGCTGGGATGGTCCAGGATTTCATGGGCTCAGAACCGAGTGCTGAGCCAGGGTTTGGGGTCATTCCCTTGGGAACAGGGTCTGGAACAGGCTTGTGCAGGGAAATTCTGGCTGTTCCATCCCTGGAAGTGTCCCAGGTGAGGCTGGAGCAATCTGGGATGGGGAGAAGTGTGGAGCTGCTGATCCCTTCCCACCCAAACCATTCCAGGATTTCCTGGGCTGCTTTGGGTGGGATATTGGGAATAAATCCCTCCCTGGGAGGGGCTGGATGGAATTCCCAGAGGAGCTGTGGCTGCTCCATCCCTGGGAGTGTCCCAGGCCAGGCTGGACAGTGGATCAGATGGGTAAAAAAATGGGTAAAAAGGGTAAAAAGGCACCCTGGGGTAGTGGGAGGTGTCCCTGCCCAGGGAATGGGGTGGGATTTAAGCTCCCTTTCCACCCCATCCCATCTGCAATTCCAGAATTCCCTGTATAATCAATTTTTGTGTGTTGAAATCCTTGATGAATTCCCATTCCAACTCATTTTGTGCTTCATTTTGAGTTGTGACTTTGAGCTCAGAACTCCAGCTCAGCTTTGGATTCATCCTTAAGCTCCATCCCAGGGACATTTTCCATGGAATTGTCCCCCTTAATTCCAGGAGTGATCCAGGTGGATGGGGATTCCTTGATTTTTTTAATGCTTTTGTGGGATTTTCCTCAATTTTTGCTGCTTTGATGGGATTTTCCTTGATTTTTTGCTGCTTTTATGGAATTTTCCTCGATTTTTGCTGCTTTTTAATGGGATTTTCCTTGATTTTTTAATGTTTTATTGGATTTTCCTTGATTTCTTAATGCTTTTATTGGATTTCAACAAGATTGCACATCCACAAAATAATTCATTTTGGAAAAACCCTCCCAGATCCCCAATTCCAGCCATTCCCACCTCCCTCCCTTGCCACATCCATCTTTTAACCCCTTCCAGGATTTAATTCCTCGAAATTCCAGGAATCCAAGGAATCCAGTGCTGTTTATTTCTATTAAAACTGATTTTTTATGATTTTTTTCAGGAAAACTGGAGCGCTTTTGCCCCTGATTTCAAGGAGCTGGATGAAAATGTGGAATATGAGGAGAGGGAATCAGAATTTGACATCGAGGATGAGGATAAGAGCGAGCCAGAGCAGACAGGTGCCCAAAAAATTCCCCAAAAATTCCCCAAAAAATTCCCCAAAAAATTCCCCAAAAAATTCCCCAAAAATTCCCCAAAAAATTCCCCAAAAAAATTCCCAAAAATTCCCAGGGAATTCCCAAACCTCCCTGGGATTCTCCCTGGCCACGTGGTGGTGCCCAAAATCCAGGAGAAAAAAAAATAAAAATCCTGGATTGTGAAAAATGATGAAAATGAGAATTATTCCTCATTAATGCTTCCTATTAAAGCACTTCCCATAATTTAATTAATTGGGTTCTAGCAGTGTTTGAATATTAATTATTTTAGGTTTGTTTTCTGCTTTAATGGGAAATATTTTAGATTTCTTTTGTGCTGTAATAAAATGTTTTAGATTTATTTTGTGCTTTAATTGGAATTATTTTAGGGCTTTTTTGTGCTCTCATAGGAAATATTTAAGTTTGTATTTTGCTTTTATAGGAAATATTTTAAGGGGTTTTTCTGCTTTAAAAGGAAATATTTTAGGTTTGTTTTGTGCTTTAATAGGAAATATTTTAGGCTATTGTGTTTCAAAAGGAAATATTTTCCTTTTTTTAGTGCTTTAATAAGAAATATTTTCAATTTGTTTTCTGCTTTAATATGAAAGCATTTTTTGGGTTTAATTTTAGGGTTTTTTGTGCTTTAATATGAGTTGCTTTAGGTCTGTTTTGTGTTTTATCAAAAATATTTTAGATTTGTTTTTTGCTTTTAATAGGAAGTATTTAAGTTTGCTTTGTGCTTTAATATGAATGATTTTAGGGTTTTTTTGCTTTTATAGAAAATATTTTAGAATTGTTTTATGCTTTAATACAAATTATTTTAGCTTCATTTTACTTTTATAGGAAACATTTTAGATTTGTTTTTTGCTTGAATGGGAAGTATTTAAGTTTGTGCTTTAATAGGAATTATTTTAGGTTTGTTTTGTGCTATAACAAGAAATATTTTAGATTTATTTTTGCTTTAATGGGAAACATTTAAGGTTTTTTTGTGCTTTAATATGAATTATTTTATCTTTTTATTTTACTTTTTTAGGAAACATTTTAGATTTGTTTTTTGCTTGAATGGGAAGTATTTAAGTTTGTGCTTTAATATGAATTATTTTAGGCTTGTTTTGTGCTATAATGAGAAATATTTTAGATTTCTTTTTGCTTTAATGGGAAATATTTAATTTTGTTTGGTGCTTTAATGTGAATTATCTTTTTTTTTACTTTTATAGGAAACATTTTAGATTTATTTTCCTTTTTTTAGTGCTTTAATAAGAAATATTTTCAATTTGTTTTCTGCTTTAATATGAAAGCATTTTTTGGGTTTAATTTTAGGGTTTTTTGTGCTTTAATATGAGTTGCTTTAGGTCTGTTTTGTGTTTTATCAAAAATATTTTAGATTTGTTTTTTGCTTTTAATAGGAAGTATTTAAGTTTGCTTTGTGCTTTAATATGAATGATTTTAGGGTTTTTTTGCTTTTATAGAAAATATTTTAGAATTGTTTTATGCTTTAATACAAATTATTTTAGGGTTTTTTTTTGCTTTTATGGGAAATATTTTATATTTATTTTTGCTTGAATGAGAAGTATTTAAGTTTGTGCTCTAATGTGAATTATTTTAGGCTTGTTTTGTACTATAATGAGAAATATTTTAGATTTCTTTTTGCTTTAATAGGAAATATTTAAGTTTATTTTGTGCTTTAATGTGAATTATTTTAGGCTTGTTTTGTACTATAATGAGAAATATTTTAGATTTCTTTTTGCTTTAAGAGGAAATATTTAATTTTGTTTTGTGCTTTAATGTGAATTATCTTTTTTTTTACTTTTATAGGAAACATTTTAGATTTCTTTTTGCTTTAATAGGAAATATTACATTTGTTTTGTGCTTTAATATGAATTATTTTAGGCTTGTTTTGTGCTATAATGAGAAATATTTTAGATTTCTTTTTGCTTTAAGAGGAAATATTACATTTGTTTTGTGCTTTAATGTGAATTATCTTTTTTTTTACTTTTATAGGAAACATTTTAGATTTCTTTTTGCTTTAATAGGAAATATTACATTTGTTTTGTGCTTTAATGTGAATTAGCTTTTTTTTTACTTTCATAGGAAACATTTTAGATTTCTTTTTGCTTTAATAGGAAATATTACATTTGTTTTGTGCTTTAATGTGAATTATTTTGGGCTCGTTTTGGGCCATAGCAGGAAATACTTTTGTGGGGTTTTGAGGTTTTTTCCTGCTGTACCAGGAGCTCTCCAGGTTATTCTTTGCAGCACCAGGAGCACTGCAGGCGTTCCCTGCCTTTAACTCCCGATTCCTGTCCCAGGTGCAGATGCTGCAGAGGATGAGGAGGTGGACGTGACCAGCGTGGATCCCATCGCCGCCTTCTGCAGCAGGTGCTGGGCCTGAGCTCCTTAATGAGCTCACTAATTAACGCTCCCGGAGCACAGAACGGGCACCACAACGCTCCCTTCAGAAATCACAGCGTTCCCTTTAAACATTCCCTTTAAACTCGTTAAGGGACACTAATTAACGCTCCCAGAGCACAGAACGGGCACCACAACGCTCCCTTTAGAAATCACATTCATAAACCACAAAATTCCCGTTACAAACCCCAACATTCCCTTTAAACATTCCCTTTAAACTCGTTAAGGGACACTAATTAACGCTCCCAGAGCACAGAACGGGCACCACAACGCTCCCTTCAGAAAACCCAACATTCCCTTTAAACGTTCCTGTTACAAAACCCAAAATTCCTGTTATAAACCCCAACATTCCCTTTAAACATTCCCTTTAAACTCGTTAAGGGACACTAATTAACCCTCCCAGAGCACAGAACAGGCACCACAACGCTCCCTTCAGAAAACACAACGTTCCCTTTAAACGTTTCTGTTACAAAACCCAAAATTCCCTTCATAAACCACAAAATTCCTGTTACAAACCCCGACATTCCCTTTAAACATTCCTGTTATAAAACCCAAAATTCCTGTTATAAACCCCAAAATTCCTGGTACAAACCCCAACATTCCCTTTAAACATTCCTGTTATAAAACCCAAAATTCCTGTTGTAAACCCCAACATTCTGTCTAAACGTTCCCTTTAAAAAATACAACATTCCCATTACAAAACCCAAAATTCCCGTCCCAAACCCCACCACCCCCACCCCAAACCCCATCCCAAAGCCCAAAATCCCCGTCCCACACCCCAAAATTCCTGTTCCAACCCCCAAAATCCCCATCCCTACACCCCAAAATCCCCATCCCAAACCCCACAAACTCCTATCCCAACTCCCAAAATTCCCATTCCAACACCCCCATCCCCTTCCCAAACCCCAAAATCCCCATCCCCACAACCCCAAAATTCCCATCCCAAACTCCCCCATCCCTGTCCCAAACCTCAAAATCCCCAAACCCCAAAATCCCCATCCCCACCCCCCAAAATCCCCATCCCCACGGGATCTGATCCCGAGGGGTTTGGGGTGTTGGGATCTGATCCTGAGGGGTTTGGGGTTTGATCCTGAGGGGTTTGGGGTTTGATCCTGAGGGGTTTGGGGTGTTGGGATCTGATCCCGAGGGGTTTGGGGGTTTCATCCCAAGGGGTTTGGGGTTTGATCCTGAGGGCTTTGGGGGACTGATCCTGAGGAGTTTGGGGTGTTGGGAGGGATTTCATCCTGGGGGTTTTGGGAGGGATCTGATCGGGATTTCAGGGTTTTAGGGCATTTGGGGGGATCTGATTCCGAGGGTTTTGGTAGGGATCCAATCCCAAGGGTTTTGGGGTGTTGGGAGGAATCTGATCCCAAGGGTTTTGGGAGGGATCCAGTTCCAAGGGTTTTGGGGTTTTGGGAGGGATCTGATCAGGATTTCAGAGTTTTAGGGCATTGAGAGAGATCTGATCCCAAGGGTTTTGGGGTGTTGGGAGGAATCTGATCCCAGGGGGTTTTGGGGTGTTGGGAGGGATCTGACCCCAGGGGGTTTTGGGGTGTTGGGAGGGATCTGATCGGGATTTCAGGGTTTTAGGGCATTTGGAGGGATCTGATTCCGAGGGTTTTGGGAGGGATCCAATCCCAGGGGTTTTGGGGTGTTACGAGGGACCTGATCCCAAGATTTCAGGGTTCACCTCCCCCCATTCCCCACCCCCCCAGAGGTGCACCCGCTGCTGGGCGTGAAGGGCGACGGTAAATCCAAGAAGAAGCAGGCGGGCAGGCCCAAAGGATCAAAAGGTAAAGACAAAGATTCTCCATTTAAACCGAAACTCTACAAAGGGGACAGAGGTGCTTTGCCTCTGGAAGCAGCGGCCAAGGGTAAAGTGCAGGCGGAGCTGGGCCAGCCCCTCCCAGGTAAGGACAGTGCCACCTCCCTGGTGGCCTTGCTTTGTCCCCCGTCCTTAGAGGTCTCTGTAGCATCCCCAAGTTCCTCCCTCCCCGCTCGGCTGCTGGCAAGGAGAGGCAAAATTGGAATTTTTTAGTGGGAAGTTGGAATGAAATTGAGTTCTGTGCGTGGGAAAATGGGGGGGGGGGTGATTTTTGTGTGCTGCACGTGGAGGGGTTTGTGGTCCTAAATTGAAATTATTTTAATTTATTTAATTATTTCCCTCGGTTCTGCAGAAATCAGGAAATATTTGGGTTGATTTTGGAGAAGTAATGAAGGATTCTGCAGTTTTGTGGATCCTCAGAGTCAGTCCTAAATTGAAATTATTTAAATTTATTTAATTATTTCCCTCGGCTCTGCAGAAATCAGGAAATATTTTGGTTGATTTTGGGGGAAAATGAAGGATTCTGCAGTTTTGTAGATGCTCAGAGCCAGTCCTAAATTCAAATTATTTTAATTTATTTAGATTCCAAACCCTAATTCCTTCAATTCCTTCCCTCAGCTCCTGCAGAAATTATGAAATACCTGGATTTTCACTGATTTTTTGGGGGAAAAAGCATCAAAAATGATTTATTGAGAAAAAAACCCTGGCAGAAAATCCAGGAGCTGCATTTCCTATTCCCAGCTGTGCTTTCCGGTTTAAACTCCAGTTTAATTCCAGTTTAATCCCAGTTTAAACTCCAGTTGAATTCCAGTTTAATCCCAGTTTAAACTCCAGTTGAATTCCAGTTTAATCCCAGTTTAAACTCCAGTTGAATTCCAGTTTAATCCCAGTTTAAACTCCAGTTGAATTCCAGTTTAATCCCAGTTTAAACTCCAGTGGCTGCACAGCAGGAGAAATTTGGGATTTTCCTCCTTCACAGCTGCTGCAAATAGGGAAAAATTCAGATTTTTTCCCTTTTTTTTGCCATATTTTGCTGCTGCCAGAGCAGGACACCTCTGCAGAGACCCAACCTGAGCCTCAAACATTTCCCATTCTCCAATTTCCTCCTTTTTTTTTGGGAAATTTCCTCCTTTTTTTGGGAAAAGCTCCTCCAGGCCCAGCACAGAGAGCACAATTTTGGCTGCAATGATGATTTTTTAAAATAGATTTTAATCCAGAACTCAACTTTGGGACACAACCCAGCTCCAAAGATGGATTTGATGGATCAAATTCTGCATTTCCTTGGTTCCAGCAGCTGCTGCTGTGGATTTTGGGAATTTAGGAATTGTTTTAATTCCTTTCATTTCCAGGAGTGATTTATTCCCTTTTTGCCTCCCCTTCCTGCTCAGCTCCTTGGTGTTGCTTGTCCTGATCCTTCTTTTTTTCCAGGAATGGGAATTTTGGATGGGAAAACCTTGGGAATGTTCTCTGGGAATGTTTCCACCTGGAAAAAAATCCAGGCTTGGAGCAGCCAGGAGCATCCTGGGCTTGGGTTTGGGTGGGATTTGCCTCTGGGGAGGGGAATTGTGGGGGATTTTCCAGGATTTTGGGGGATTTTCCAAGATTTTGATGGATTTTCCAAGATTTTGGGGGATTTTCCAGGATTTTGGGGGATTTTCCAAGATTTTGAGGGATTTTCCAGGATTTTGGGGGGTTTTCCAGGATTTTGGGGTGTTTTCCAAGATTTTGGGATGTTTTCAAGGATGGCGCCTGGATCCTCACAGGGCTGGCTTGCAGATGATTAATCTCATGTTAATTATTGCTTTCGTCGCTGCTAATTAATATAATTAACAACAGAAATGGGAAAGGATCGTGGCCTGGAAGGTGAAAATTGGGATTTCCAAGGAGAATTCCAATCCTTGGCTTCCAAACAGGGCAGGATCCTTGGATTTCCCAGGGATCTCAGAAAAACACTTCCGTTTTTAATCAACATTTAATTTCTAATTCCCATTTAATTTCCCATTTTTCCCCCCACATTTCCCCCTGCATTTCCCATTTTTTCCCCCATTCCCCACCCCCTGCTCCCCTGGGCTCTCTCCTCTCCCCCAGCCCCGGGCCACACGCTCATTCCCTCTCTGCTCTCCCGGAGCCGCACGCTCATTCCCTCTCTGCTCTCCCGGAGCCGCACGCTCGTTCCCCTCTCTGCTCTCCCGGAGCCCCGAGCCGCACGCTCATTCCCCTCTCTGCTCTCCCGGAGCCGCACGCTCATTCCCCTCTCTGCTCCCCGGGAGCCGCACGCTCATTCCCCTCTCTGCTCTCTCAGCAGGCGGAGCAATCTCAGAGCTGCTCTGAAGAATCCCCTCCCCTCCCTGCCTCCTTTCCTCTCTGGGCTCCCCAGCGTGGCAAGCGCTGCAGTTCCCAGGCAGGACTGGCACAGACTGAATTCCAAGGATTCAGGGAGAGATTTGGGGCAGGAATGACTGGAAGAGGGAGCAGCTCCACCCTCGGCACGGATCAGGCTGGCACCGAGCTCCAGCCGGGATTTTGGGGACAAATCCCTGTCCCAGAGTGACCTGAGCCCCTTCCCTGCCACTCCAGAGCCTTTTATCTCCCAAAAGCTCTCAGCATTCCCGGATGGAAGAGCAGCCCAGAGTGTGAGTTTGGATTCCTCACTGTCTCCTGCCAAGTCCCCTTTTCCAGCTGGGAATTCCCAACTCGCCGAGCCCGGCTTTTCCCAGGACAGAGCTGCTGATCCCAGCCAGATTTTCAGGAATTTCCAGTGGGATTGAGGAGCTGAGGCCCCTCTGGAATCTGCCTTGGTTTTGTGTTTGTTTTTCCCGCTCTGCCTGTGGCAGAAGGAGCAGCTTTAGATGAAAAAAGTCATTTTCCAATGTTTTTTTTTTCCCCCCAAAGCTCTGCTGGAGCTCCCTCCTGTCCTTTCCAGTGGTTTTGTTCCTTCTCTTCCCTGGGAAATTCTCCTCCAGGAATATCCAGGCTCCTCCTGGATAAATGAAAACCAATTTTCGTGTCAGAACTGAAGCAGAACTTCTCCAAAGGGTTTCTGTTTTTCCCACTTCTGGGTTAAAACAGAAGCTGGCAGCTCATTCCCAACTTTTATTCCTTCAGGATTTCCTGCAGGAATGGGAATGGCACTTTCCCCGTCCAGCACCTCTTACCCACACCAACATCCTGATCAAAGGAAATCTCATTCCTAAATCCATTTTTTCCCCCCAGACTTTGGAGTTTCATTGCTCTCATTTTGGAATTATTGGGGTTATCAGGAGCTATTTAAATTTCCTGGGTGTCCTGCAGGCATTAAAAGCAGGAAGGGAGTTGGAAAATGACGAATTTGCAGCCAAGAACTGAGCAGGTATAAAAATGAGGAGAGAGAAAACATTTGGAAATCAGAGGTTTTGAAATCTTTCAAAACTTGATGTTTTCATTCCCAGCTTTGGGGACATTTATGACCACGAGTGTAAAATTCCTTTTTTTTTTTTGGTTCTTTTTGCTTGTGGGGTGACTCTGCCTTGCCAAACCCACCCTGGCTGCTGGGCCTGACCCCCCAAATTAAAAATGCCCGGGCCAAGGTTCTGCAGGTGGGGTGAAAGCATTGAGCCCACCCCAAACTCAGCTTCCCTCTGTACAGTGTAAATGCCTTTGTTTATTCCCGTCCTTCTCTCATTTCCTGCTTTATTCCCATCCTTATTTCCTGGGCTCTTCCCATCTTTATTTTATTTCCTGATTATTCCCATCCTTATTTTATTTCCCAATTTTGTTTTCTTCCTTATTTTCTGTCCTGGTTATTCCCGTCTTTATTTTATTTCCTGCTTTATTCCCACCCTTATTTTATTGCCTGCTTTGTTCTCATTTTATTTCCTGGCTATTCCCATCCTTATTTTATTTTATTTTATTTCCTGCCTTATTCCCATCTCTATTTTATTTCTCACTTTGTTCCCATCTTTATTTTATTTCCTGCTTTGTTCCTCTCCTTATTTTATTTTATTTCCTGGTTATTCCCATGCTTATTTTATTTTATTTCCTGGTTATTCCCATTCTTATTTTATTTTATTTTATTTCCTGCTGTGTTCCCATCCTTATTTTCTTTCCTGCTTTATTCCCATCCTTATTTTCTTTCCCAGTTTGTTCCCATCCTTATTTTATTTCCTGGTTATTCCCACCCTTATTTTATTTCCTGTTTTTTCCCACCCTTATTTTATTTCCTGATTTATTCCCACCCTTATTTTATTCCCTGGTTTTGTACAATATTGGAGCAGCTCCTGCAGCGGTGGTGGTTCTGTGTTTGTAAATAAAGAGGTACCTTCCATTTCCTAAAATCCACGGGTAAATCTTGGCTTTTCCATGGAAAAGTTGGGGGTTTCCGTCGTGCTGGAATTTGGGAATCTTTCGAACACGCCGTGTTTGGGGTTTTTTAGGGTATTTTTTGTTGGTTTTAGTGAAGGGAGAGGAGTAAAGCTGGAGTAAAACCAACCCTGAGTGCTCAGGGAATGAATTCCCAGAGAATCCGTGGCTGTCCCAGGCCAGGCTGGATGAGGTTTGGAGCGTCTGGGATGGTGGCACGGGTGGGATTTGAGGTCCTGTCCCACTCAGAGCAGTCTGGAATTCCCAGATCCCTGAGTGCACTCGGAGCTGGGAGGGGAGGGCAGCTCCAGGGGGGATTGGGGGTGGAAAATCCTCCTGGAGCTTTGGGAATTCCTCAGTTTGATATAAGGAGTGTGAGGAAGGGAATAGATCCGAATTTGGGGTTGTGGAGGAACTTGACAAACCCAATTCCCTGTGGGAATCCAGGGATGCCCATCAGGAGACTCTGATTATGGGATGCCTTTTCCATAAAAGTGTGGTCAAAAACTACGGAGAACATGATTCCATAGAACTGTGGGGGGTTCCTCCATCAAAGAACCCTGGATTTTCTAGCGAAGAACTCTTCAGCAGTGCATTGTTTGTTTCCATAGAACTGTGGGGGTTCTTGCATCAAAGAAAAACCTGGGTTTTCCAGGGGAGAACGCTTCAGCAGTGCATCATTTTTTTGGGACGCTGGAGCACTGCATGGATCCTACCAGAATCTCTCAGAGCGTTTTCCTGGGATGGCAGCGTGGGAACGATTCCTGTGGATCCATCAGTGGCTGTCTGGGGTTGGATCCCTCAGGAATGAGGGCTCTGAGAGCTCTCCCAGCTCCTGAGGCTCCTTCCAAGGCTGGGAATTTCAACCAGAACTTCACCTGGAGCTTCTGGAGCCCTCAGCTCCCGGGATTTGCTGGGCCTTCCCTGAGGGTTCTTCCTTGGAATGTTTGGGGCTGTTGTGCCCTGGCTGTGACATCAGAGCTGCTCCCATGGGAACAGCTCCAGAGCTTGGTGTGGACACGGAGTGACCAGAGCCAACTGGCTCAGACCACCCTGGATTCCCATGGATCAGCCCCAGTAGAGGTTGGAATGTTGGGGTTGGATTGGGGAGTGCTCCAGGCTGGGATGTGTTTGTAAAAGTGAGGATTGGACAGGGTCTCCATGAGGAACTGAGATTTTGGGATTTCCTCACACTCCACAGCATTATTTGGGAGATTCCAGCAGTAATTCCTGCTGGAAATTCGGAGTTTGGTGGGAAAATGAAAGTGGAGCCTCTCCTTTTCCAGTGAAAATCCATCCAAAATAAAACCCATCAAAAACAACAAGGGAAGTCTTACAGGGAGGAGAGAATTTCACTGAAATTCCCGAACACAGCCAAAACTGATGGAATTTGGGCAGAATTGGATTGGGCGCAATGGATCAGAACATCCTCCTGTCCTGTTCAAAGAGCATTCCCGATGGAATTCCTGGAATTCCCACCCTGCCGGGTCCAGTAACGCCTTGCTGTGTCTTTTTTCAGTTGTGCCTCCAGCTCCACATCCGGGAGGATTTTCCCAGGTGGAAGGATTAGATCTGGTGGGATGTCAGAGACATCCCGAAGAACCTGGGAGATTCATGGAATGATTCCAGGGGGTTCGGAGTGCTGAACCCAGACACAAAAGCACCTGGAAGATGGAGCAGAGCCCCATCGTGGTGATCCTGCTGTGTGCCCTGTGCATTCCAGCAACGCTTCTCTTGGGATCAGGAATGGAGCTTCCCTCGGGAGCAGGATCGGAGCTTCCCTTGGGATTGGGCTCGGAGCTTCCCTCGGGAGTAGGATCGGAGCTTCCCTTGGAACCGGGCTTGGAGCTTCCCTTGGGACCGGGATCGAAGCTTCCCTTGGAACCGGGCTCAGAACTTTCCTCGGAACCGGGATTGGAATCGGGGCTTTCCTTGGACCCAGGATCTGAGCTTCCCTCAGGAGTGAGATCAGGCTCAGAGCTTCCCTCGGAGCCAGGATTGGAGCTTCCCTCGGAACCAGGATTGGAGCTTTCCTCAGAAGTGAGATCGGGCTCAGAGCTTCCATCGGAACCAGGATCGGAGCTTCCCTCGGAACCAGGATTGGAGCATCCCTCTGGAGCGAGATTGGGCTCAGAGCTTCCCTCGGAACCAGGATTGGAGCTTTCCTCAGAAGTGAGATCGGGCTCAGAGCTTCCATCGGAACCAGGATCGGAGCTTTCCTCAGAACCGGAATCCGAGCTTCCCTCGGAACCGGGATCGGAGCTTTCCTCAGAACCGGAATCCGAGCTTCCCTCAGAACCGGGATCGGAGCTTTCCTCAGAACCGGAATCCGAGCTTCCCTCAGAAGCGAGATCAAGATCTGAGCTTCCCTCAGAGCTGGGATCAGGCTTCACTCTTCCCCCGGGCGCGGAGTCCATGCCGCTGGGGCTGAAGCCCATGGTGGCCGTGAACTCCACGCCCTGCAGCGTCACCTGCGGGCTGGGCTTGAAGCAGGAGCAGCTGTGCGAGGTCAGCCCGGCCGGGGAGCGCCGCAACTGCTCCCTGGTGCGCTCGCGCTGCCTCACCGACTGGATCTGCGGCCTCCAGCACTTCAGCATCCCCGAGGGAAAACCCTTCAAGCTCGTCTGCCTCTCCCCGGAGGCCGCCAGCCTGGAGGGACCAAATTTCGGCTACACCTGGAGGTTCGCCCGGGGGCTCATCACCACCAACGACCTCCTGTTCCACCCTTTCCGCAACCCCAGCCCTTCCCTGAGCTTCTCGCCGGCGCTGGAGTCGCATTCCGGGACCTACCGCTGCGACGTGCAGGTGCTGAGCTCCTTCCAGCTCGTCAAGAGGATCTACTTCAGCCTCAGGGTGATCCCCAAGGCTCTGGTGGATCTGGACTTTGAGAAATCCCTGACCTGGGAGCAGCAGCAGCTGGCCAGCGGGGAGGAACCACCGGGAAACGCCACGGGGCCCCCGGAGCAGCGGGAGAGTTTTTGGAAGAAGCAGTGGTTTTACGAGGCCGTGCTGGGAATCGGGAGTGGGGTGATCATGGGGATCCTGTTCAGCGTCGGGCTCTGCTGCCTGGGCAGGGTTTGCAGGAAAAGAGCAGCACGAGAAATGAACGAAGATTGACGCAATTCCCTGGTTTTGGCTCTTTGTTAGGATCAGGAATTCGGGGTGGGAGTCGTGGGATCGTCCATTGTTGGATTTAGTGATCCTCCCCTTCCAACTCAGGACATCCCATGGATCCCATAACTATTTCATGGGACATTTAGAATTTATTTGCAACAGACACAGCTTATTATTGAATATTTTTGGCTGCTTTGGAGCCTGGATTAAGAATTCAGGAATTCAGAATGGGATTCTTTGGGTTGTCCACAGTTGGATTTTCCTCTCCTTCCAACTCAGGACATTCCATGGATCCCATAACTATTTCATGGGATATTTAGAATTTATTTGCAAAAGACACAGTTTATAAATTAATATTTTAGGCCACTTTGGAGCCTGGATTAGGAATTCAGGATGGGATTCTTGGGGTCATCCACAGTTTTTCCTTTTACCAGGACAACACAAAAATGCTTTGATATCGAAAAACATGGGTATGGAGGGAAATAATTTTATTTATTCGAATGAAAACCAAACCAGGCACTTCCCAGAGCTGATTCCCAGAGGGTTTTTTTCACCTCCTGAACATGGAAAAAATTGGGAATGACCCATCACAGCGGGCTGGGAGTTAATGGTCCAGAGCTGCCCCATCTGCAGGAGCCTCTCTGCTCTTTGTCATGGAAATTTCAGTGTCTTGGGCCCAGCTGGGATTCCCAAATCCAGCAGGATGAAAGCTCCAGCTCTGCTGGGGAAGTCAGAGCGGGAGCCAAAAATCTCCTTCATCTTTGGATTGCGGGGTTTTGTAATTTCTGAGGGGAGCCAGATGCTCAGAGCAGGGAAAATGAATCCATAATTGGGGTTTTTATTTGGAGACCGAGGGCTGGGATGGCCACTGGGGTCCAGCTGTCACAAAGGGCCTTTAATGGGATTTTTTTCAGGGGTGCTCTTTGATTTTTGAAGGGATATTAAGGATTGGGGGATGTTTATCATAACAGGGGAAGGAAGGGAGGAGGCAGGAAAAGGGAATAGCAGAATTCGGAGCTCAATGCAAGTCGGGAAGTAAAAACCCTTGGAAGAGCATCCCCATCCCTCATTTTTTTCCCTCTCTCCCTGCAAAATCATCTTTTCTTAATCACTGCCCCTGTATTCACACCATAAAGGGCAAAAATTTAGGAAAAAATGTCTCTGCTCTGAACTCCAGGACCTTTGGGATCACCAGAGGCTGGAGCTGGCCAGGGCTCCTTCCCTCTCTTCATCCCTCATCCTTCCCTCTTCATCCATCCCTCTCTCCATCCTTCATCCTCTCCATCCCTCATCCTTCCCTCTCTCCATCCTTCATCCTCTCCATCCCTCATCCTTCCCTCTCTCCATCCTTCATCCTCTCCATCCCTCATCCTTCCCTCTTCATCCATCCCTCATCCTTCCCTCTCTCCATCCTTCCCTCTCTCCATCCTTCCCTCTCTCCATCCCTCATCCTTCCCTCTCTCCATCCTTCCTTCTCTCCATCCTCCCTCCAAATCCCCCAAATTCCACTCCTCTCCCTGGCTCTGCACGCCTTTAACCCCTGGGCTGTATTTTAGGAAGCTCCGAGAGGTTTTAAGGAGGATTCCAAGCCTTTTCGTGCCGTTGGTGGCTCTGGCTGGGCATTAAATGTAGATTTTTGTCATTTCCCGAGGTCCAGGTGCTGGGTTTGCAGGTGCAGATCCTTCCCAACCCTGGATTAATGGAGTGGCAGAAGGGGCTGCCCAAAACAGGGTTTAACAAAGCCTGAGCGGCCCTGTCTGGAGAGGGATTTCCCTGCCACCACCTGGGCTAAAAAGGGCGAGGAATTGCCATTTAAAGGGAAAACTGCACATCAGGGCCCAGCCAGGAAATTCCAGGGCTGGGATTGCCCAGTCTGGCATGGTTTTCTCTGGGATTGAGGAATCACAGCGGGGAAAATCCCTAAAACCCCCCTTGGGATGGAACCAGCAGCAACACCAAGAAATTCTCATTAACTTTGGTCAACTGCTTTACTGGGAGACAGAGATTTCAACAGGCAACATCGATTCCCAGCCAGTCCTGTGGCTGCTCAGCTCAGCATTCCTGCTTTTCCCAGCCCCTGCAGTGCAGGGGGCTCCTCAGTGTCCCAGGGTTTCCTTGGGATGTCCAGCAGCCGTCGGAGCTGGAATCCAGAGCTGCTTCCTGGCTGGGTCTCAGCCTTTGCAGTCCCAATCCGAGCCTGGAATTTTGGCCAGGTGAATTCTCAGTGCAGGGAGATGAATCTGAGTCCAAATTTTCCTTCTTGTCCCAGTGGTGGCTTCCTGGAGTCTCCCATTCCTGTTTTAATTTTATCTTATTTTTTTATTATTTTTTTTTTAATTTCTTCTTTAAGCCCCTCTGAAATTGGATTTTTTGACACCTCCATTTTTTGGCAGAGTTGCCCAAATTAGGGATTCTGGGAAAGGATCCCCTTCTCCCAAAGAGGCAAAGAGGGTGACAAATCCACCCCAAAAGCACGTGGGATATGGGAAAACACGGAATTTGCGCCTCACAGCTGAGACAAGCACCAGGCTGGGGCTGCAAGTGAACACCAGAGTAGTAAAAAAAGCTTTTCAGGCTGGGGCAGAGCTCGACCCTCCCGTGGGTTTGTCTCCTTGGGCTGGTTCCTGCAGGGTTTGGCTGTTTTTTGTGGGAAAAAGGATCAATCCCGTCCCACAGATGCTCCGAGCTGGCTGTGGCGGGATGGGTGTGGAACATGCTGGTCCCTGAACTCCTCAGTCCCCGTCCCCCCACGGAATTCACTGTACAGAGTTAAAAAAAAAGTCAAATTTAGCAGTCTGGTTATCTCATACATGGCTTCGATAAGGCAGAAAACCTATGGATACGGTGAGGGCGGGGGCAGCTGGCTGCAGAATTCCCGGAGAATTCTTCATTTTCTTCGTTTTCCTTAAAAAACATTTAATCGGTTAAAGACCCATGTCTTGTACGAAAGCTTTTGTTCCTCCAAACCAAAAAACCAAAAAAAAAGAAAGCTGTTTTTTAATTCCTTCCTCCCTTCCAAGCACGTGGTGCAATCCTCTCCCCGCGGTGCTGCCCCGAGCGGGGTTCGCGTTGTTCCCATGGGATCGGGAGGAGCCGCGGTCAGAGCTCCAGGGAGCTGATCAGGGCCACCAGCAGCAGGGAGTTGGTGGTGATGGTCACCACGTGTGGCGCTGGCCTCATCCCCGAGTCCTCCACCATCATGCTGGTCCCTGGAAAAACAGGGAATAGGGATGGGGATGTGGGGTGGAGTGGACACCACGGGGAATTCAGGGAGGTTTTGTGGGGTTTTTTGTGTGTTTGGCACTGGTAAAACTGGGAGTGCTGAGAACGGGAGTTTGGGGGCAGGCACTGGGAATTCACCCCTGGATTTAAGGAATTTGATGGAGCTGCGGCCCCACAGAGATGGGGTTTCACTCTTAGTGGAAAACTGAAGTGGTTTTTAGCTCGTAACTCTTGGGAGGTTGAGCATTGTGGGGTGTCGAGGCTGCAAATCCTAAAGCTGGGTCAGGCTGGACTGGGTTTGGGAAGAGGAGTGGGGAGAAGGAGAAGAGTCAGGAATTCCTATGAGTGAACAGCACAAGGACCCAAAGGCTGATTCCAGGAAAAACAATTCCAGAAAGGAGCAATTCCAGAAAGGAGCAATTCTGGAGTCTCAACCTGAAACAGTGCGGGAGGATGTTCTCCCGTGGCCCTGGAAGGGCGAGCGGGATTTTAAACCACAATTTATTGGGATCGTGCTGAGCCAGGATGGGAGGGGCGTGGCCAAGTCTTTCCTGCTGGGAAGGGAAGGACAGGAGGTGTCCTGTGAGCTCTGGAGCTTTGGAGAACCTCGGAAAGGAGAATTAGGGCATGGAGAGGGTGTGGTCAGGGAGCACAGGAAGTGGGTGTGGCCAGAGGAGTGGGTGTGGCCAGAGAATCACATGGATGGGTGTGGTCAGTGGAGTGGGTGTGGTCAATGGAGTGGGTGTGGTCAGAGGAGCACATTGAAAGGTGTGGTCAGTTGAAGGGTGTGGTCAGAGGAGTGGGTGTGGCCAGAGGGGTGGGTGTGGTCAGGGGTGGGTGTGGTCAGTTGAAGGGGTGTGGTCAGAGGGGTGGGTGTGGCTGGAGGAGCACATTGAAGGGTGTGGTCAGTGGAATGGGTGTGGTCAGATGAGTGGGTGTGGTCGGAGGGGTGGGCGTGGCCAGAAGGGCATATTGAAGGGTGTGGTCAGAGGGGTGGGTGTGGTCAGATGGATGGGTGTGGTTAGTTGGAGGGGTGTGGTCAGAGGGGTGGGCATGGCTGGAGGAGCACAGGGATGGGTGTGGTCAGTTGGAGGGGTGTGGTCAGGGTGGGTGTGGTCAGTTGAAGGGGTGTGGTCAGAGGGGTGGGTGTGGCTGGAGGAGCATACTGAAGGAGTGGTCAATTGGAGGGGTGTGGTCAGAGGGGTGGGTGTGGTCAGATGGATGGGTGTGGTCAGTTGGAGGGGTATGGTCAGGGGGGTGGGTGTGGTCAGTTGAAGGGGTGTGGTCAGAGGGGTGGGTGTGGCTGTACCGCTGTTCCGGAGGATGTGAACTTCTGCCGGGGTCCCGTCCCCGCCGGGCCCGGTCACCCGGATCTGGACGAAGGCGTGAGTGAAATCCTCGGGGATGGGGATGTCGATGTGGCTCTTGCTGGCCAGGTACAGGGTGGGGGCCGAGTGGGAATCCTGCCTGTAGAGCATCTGTGGGAAGAGGGAATGCTGAGCTCCCGTTCCCTGTGGCTTCCTTGGGTCACCTCCAGGAGAAGCCCAGCCTCGCTGGCCGTACCTTGTACCCCGTCACCGCCGACTCGTCTGCCTTGGCCACCACGGGGTCCCACTTGATGCTGACTGTGGAGCCGGAAAAAGTCCAGGAGATGTTCCCAGGGGGCCTTTTTGGTGCTGAGGGATGCAAAACCAGACAGGGATTGGGTGAATCAGGGTGGGAGGAGAAGGCTGTGCTGGTCCCAGCCGTCCCCTGAGCTGTCACCACTGTGGGGCATTCAGGGGAACACCAAACAAGAGCACCAAGATCAAAGTTTGGGTGATTTTGGGGGATTTTGTGGAAAGTGGAGGGGTCAGGGCTCAACTCACGAGGTCTCGTGGTGGTGACGTTGGTGGCGGGGCTGGGGGGGCCGGTCCCTGCCCGGTTGTAGGCTCGCACTGACACGTGGTAGTCGGTGTTGGGGTTCAGGCCGGTGACATGAGCCGATGTCACCAGCCCCGCTGTCCTCACTCTGTCAGCCGCCTCCTCCTTGTCCCCGTCCTTCCAGTACCGGATCTGCGAGGAAAAGGGCAGGATAAATCCCGGGTCAGCCCACCCTGAAGGGCCTTTGGGTGTTTGTTTCTGTGTGTTTT